TATGAACTACTTTACACTTGGCAGGATTGAAGTTTAAGTGACAAATACTCTCCCAATTTTCGAGTTCTAAAATATCATCAGATACACTTCCATGGTTAGCTGCATTACAAACTAACTTGAGATCATCTGCAAATAATTTAATCTTATTTTTAACCACTGTCCATTTTATTCCTGCACAAAAAAAACTGAAAAAAGACAAAGACAAAAGGGACAAAAGGGACAAGAGGGACAAAAGGGACAAAAAAAGATAATAGGGACAAAAAAGACAAAAAAGACAAAAAAGACAAAAAAGACGGGGACAAAAAGGACAAAATGGACAAAAAGACAGGGACAAAATAAACAAAATGGAAAAAATGGACAAAATGGACAAAATGGACAGGGACAAACGAGACAAATGTTCAGGAAAAAGAGGAGGAATAAGAAAATCTTGATTAGAGGACGGGCATGCTTTTTCTCCTACTTCATAGGAAAAAGCGAATACCCATTAGCTTGATATTGTCGGCATATTGTTAATGGAAAAGTAATTGTGTGGGTCTGGGTATCTGCTTCTGGCCGCTATGAGCGTTATGATATTATAAGATGATGACTTTTTTGATATCACCACTTGATTAATGGGATTAATGAAATATTGACTGAACCGTGTACACATTTATTTATGTGATGCCGTTGATGAATTCTGCTTATTTCAGTCCCTTCAGTGGTTTCAGTTGATTCTAAGTACAGCAAAACACTGACATGAAAATCTAAATTGTTGATGTCGAGTAGAATATATATACATTCTCTACATTTGAGCTTGTCTAATTTTTTGTCTCATTTGTCCAAAATTTTTGTCCCTTTTGTCCCTAGTATTGTCCATTTTGTCCCCAAAACACTGTCCTTCACAAAAATATGTAAAAAAAGACAAAGACAAAATGGACAAAATGGACAGTGGTACCCCCCCCCCCCCCCTTTATAACATCTAAAACTTTAAAAAAATTTAGATAGAAGTTTTGGGAATAGAACTTTGAGTACATCTAAATCGTGTCTTGTACCATCCTCAGTGACGTGACCCTGTAAGATGGTCAATCAAGAAAAATTCAGTCAAAACAGTGAAATTTGGGTCGCAGAGAGCTGAAATTCGAATATGTCCTACCGGTAGGACATATTCAAAATTTTCATTGCATCAAAGTTTTCTCCAGATATACTGCGTCTGATTGCTTCCAGTACCTTGATGGTGACTTGTGTCACTCTCACCGACCTCACTGATTGGTCAATGGTCACTGGTCAAAAGTTCAGTAAAAACCGTGAAATTTCGGTCAAGGGGACGTCAGAAAGGCTCCTCTTCAAAAATCTTCCAAAATCTCTATTTATATACTGATGATTTTCCGTTTATCAAAGCTTTCTTTGGGAATAGAACTTTGAGTACACCTCAATCGTGTCTTGTGCCATCCTCAGTGACCCTGTAAGATGGTCAATCAAGAAAAATTCAGTCAAAACAGTGAAATTTGGGTTGCAGAGAGCTGAAATTCGAATATTTCCTACCAGTAGGACATATTCAAAATTTTCATTCAAGCATCAAAGTTTTAAGAAAACAACAAATTTCAAGAAAACAGCAAATTTTTATTTAAATCAATTATAGCAACAATTTGAAAAACTTTAAAGTTATTCTATTACCAAGGAATATACTACGGGTATGGTGACTTGAACTATTGAGTTGTTAAGTAGATTAAGATTAGTAAACATGCACTTTCATTGTATTTATAAAAACTAGAAATTAGGCTTCACGGTAAAATGGAGAAGCAGGCTGATCTTGGAGAGAGCAGACCGTAAAGTTTACGCACCCACCAGGGCTACCTCCCTACCCCAGTTGTTCTTTTTGGTTTATCAGCTTGTATTGTTATATTTATGGACCCCAAGTCACCACACTTAGAAAAAGTATGTGACAACATTAGTTAAAAGTTAATGTCATCATATCAGTTAAAAACAGTAAAAGTTAAGTTGAGGATTGAATTTCCTCGTTAATGTAATGGTTCAAATGGTTGAGAATATAATAATGTTAGAATTTGTATCTGCTGCAGCAATAATATCGATATGTCATTTGTCTAGAAAATCTTCGCCACTTCAATAGATATTGGGTCGGAAATTTGGTGAGTGAGTGATGAACTGGTTTGGTCTGTGACTGAGTGAGGGACGATGTGAAAGTTGTGGTACGTCCTAGTATTATTATTGTTGATGGATTGGGATCCTAGGATGATAGTTTTACAGCTTAATTTAACCAAAGATACAGAAGTAGTGAGGATTTCCCAATCCTCATTTAGAATCCGTTTATGTATGCTATACCACAATTTGGAGGCTATGTAAATTGTAAAGAAACGTGTTGGTTTTTCTTGGGAGGATTATGACATTGCTTGTATCACGTTTTGATGAGTCTATAGTACAATACAACGAGTATGGAGTGCGAAATTTCATAATTCGAAATATCTCAGATATACAGTGGTATTTGTACAAGTTTTGAACAGTAAGCAATTTTAGCTTTTTAGTCGATTAAAAATGGGCTTGGTGTGCTCTTTTTCGAAAAAAGCAGCTCCTAACCTCTGTTTTGTATAAGGTCTGGCTCGTGCACAAGTAGCATGTTTGTCGAGATATGCATTGAGGTCTCCAAAAAGTATTCTTATACAACGTTTCTGAGTTATGAACAGCTTGTCGTTTGGTTGGTCTTTGAGGGCTGAGCCCCAAACACTTATTCCGTACTTGCAAGATGTGATTCTAATAACGCAGAGTATATTTTTTGGTAGTGTTCCCCTGGAACTGAATGTTTAATCCTGTTAAGTGCTCCTGTAGTGGATCTAATTTTAAAAAAAAATTCTATATGTGGGCCCCAGCTAAGTTTTTCATCAATTACTACACCAAGAAATTTTGTGTTGCTAACCTTGACAATTTTTGACAGAATTTTCTCCGGCTATTCTGCTTCCAGTGACTTGATGGCAACTTGTGTCACTCTCACCGACCTCACTGATTGGTCACTGGTCAAAATTTCAGCTAAAACCGCGAAAATTCGGTCAAGGGGACGGCAGAAAAGCTCCTCATCAAAAATCTTCCAAAATCTCTATTTATATACTGATGATTTTCCGTTTATCAAAGCTTTCTTTGAGAATAGAACTTTGAGTACACCTCAATCGTGTCTTGTGCCATCCTCAGTGACCCTGTAAAATGGTCGTTCAAGAAAACTTCAGTCAAAACTGCGAAATTTTGGTCAAGGAAACGACAGAAAAGTTTCAATTTATGATCTTCTGAAATATCTCCTCGTATTCTGAAGATTTTTTGTTTTTCAAAGTTATCTTCAGTAATCTAGCTTTTAGTACCTCAATTGTGTTTTGTGATGATCCCAAGATTGTTGTGTTGTGTTGTAAAACTAGTAGGGTCAGGAGTTCTATAACTTACCTAGTAACAGGTGCCCTTATTAAGGCATGGTACGCACTACAAAAGGAAGGTCATATCATGCTCATTGTTTTCAAATTGGTCCAATATCCAATATAAGTGTACACGTTGTTTAACATGTAATTCTGATTTAAGTAGATTTTAATTTGTTGGAAATGACCCTGCCCCCAATATCGTATTGCTAGACTCCTATTCATATGTCTAATAATTACTCGATACATCTTTATTTTACTGTGTTACATTTTAAGGTCATCAGTGATTGCCACCAACTTTTTAAACAGATTCTCAGACCACTTCACTATTGTTACAAATTCTAGAAAACTTTACACTCTAAGAATTATATACCGAGGCAATTTACGAGTCTTAAAATTAACATGCAGGTTCAGTCACAGATTAAGCAGTTTTTCGAAGACACCGAAATGTTTTCATTTAAGCTAAAGTGAGTACCTATATATATAGATTATAAATATAATCCTATTAATCATGCATATAACCTTATTCACTCATCACGGCTACCAGTCATTGAATCAAATCCAAGGTTGCAAACCTTACATCACTGTACAATGGACCGGTCAGGTACTTCGAGAATATAACTAGGTTATAGAACATTCCTTGAGAGTGGTTCGTACCTCTTGAATCTGGATGGAGACGAAGATCGACTTGTACCTTATCGGAAAAAGCGATGATCCTCAAAAATTTCGGAATGAACGAGAATTTTCTTTGTATGTACTGCAGAGTGCAGGGCGTGGTAACCGAAAATTTTAACGGACGTTAATTTGGGTTGACACATATTTTAGGTGCTGAGTCATCATTTCAGCGCCCACGTTTCCAACCAAATAAAGTCTGATAAGGCATCTTCAGTATGAAAATATGAAAATTTTTAAAATTGATTATGTTTGATATCAAATTCCAAATTTCTAGATAGCCATAATTTTTAGCGGGAATCATGATCGATGACCTTATTCGGTGGTTATTAGATCATTTTGAACAGTAGACGAAGGTGTTAAATTCTGCTTTCGTACATTTTGACGACCCTGGCTTTGAATTCGCTTATACTGCAAATTTTACGTACATGTTGTTCTGTAAAACCAGTTCTCTCAGATTTAACGATTTCAAATATTATGACAGTAATTGTTTAACTGGATTGCGTTGCTTTGCACCTTGTGATTCACGCTAAATACGATGAGCTAAGTTTCGGTCTTTATGATAAAGATAAGAAATTGGAACTGTAATTTGGCTGGTCCCAAATTCGAAAGCGAATCCGTCCGAGTACTGTATATATAAGTTTGATATGATGGACAAACTTGCATATTATGTTTCATTTCTTCTCCTCTTACTTAAGTTGTTTCGCTGCGTGCTTACTTTAAAACAATAGTCGTGTGATGTGATAACTATGCTTCTCCATCACATATTAAACCGTTATATTTTGTTAAGGTTAGGGTACACTTGTTCCTTAATGTGATACAAATGGTACATGCTTAATTGTCGACTTCATATTTCATATATATCACTCAATGTTTATCTTTACATAATTCTGTAAAATTTTCTTAAAGTTTAAAAAGAATCCGTCTCCTTCTAGATTGTAGCAATGTCGAGATGTCGAGATCAGTGTCCACAGGTCAAGTCATGTCCAGTTCAGTGTTAACAAGTCAGTCAGACCTAGCACCGGACAACATCCAGGATCTCCCCTCCATTACCGTGAGTTTCTATTTCACTCAATTACCGTGAAATATCATTACCAAACACATTGTACAATGTATGTATATTTAATTAAGTAATAAAATGTGCACTGCATCTTTTGATAAATAAAATATTCCTTTAACTTGTTCGTTAAAGGGCTTTTAAAAGGAATTCCTGTACTAATTACATTTTTTACGTGCCGCAGTTAAACCGAAAACAGGCGGTCAAAAGAAGGAGATGGAGCGCAGCCAACTCGATAACAGAGACTTCTCTCCAAAAGATACACGATGAGTCTGAGCGAAGATTATCCAAGTACGTGACAACTGTAAACTAGTATTAAACAGTAAACACCTTATTTCTTACTCGGATCTGTAAATTATCACTGATATCACGGTATTTAACAGTGCAGTGTCAAGTTTCATATGGAACAAAACGGGCTTAGGGTCGAGTAAAATACTGATTCTTTCCTTTTTGAGCTGGTTTCAGTTTAAACTTGGGATCTACTGAAAGCAGGGGATAATTTCGAAACTTGGGTTTCATAGATGTAGGCTGAGTAACAGGAAGTGAAATACTCGTTTGACGTCCCTACACTATATACTATGAATAATGAATATGCTACACTCAGTTTCTTAAAAAGAGCTAAGTGTTGTGTTCAAGTGGTCTCTAAATGCCGACATGTTAATCGTTGATGTCAAAACTAATGTCTTTTGCATTCCCTGAATAGAAACTAGTTACCAACATTCTACCTAATTAAAATTTCGGTCAAATTGTAATCGTGACCTTACTTGACTCGTCCATGTTGGAAAATATAAAATATGAATAATGAATGATCATTGATCATGGTTCGGTCTTCAGAAAAATTTTAAAGCAGGTATTACTAACGTTTCAAACATTAAAATTCAATCTTTGCAAACATTCCTTTCCATGTGTAATGTAATTAGGGACCACATCAATAAAATGATCGCTTAGAGACTGGCCAGAATGCGCGCGAAACTTTGCAATTTATGTAACGCGCGATTACCAAATCAATTGTAGCTGTACAAAGTTTCTCGAAAAGTCATCTAGTGTGTTATCAATATTCGAACTGCGCGCTTTAATCCAGGCACACTGGCACATGGTAATTCAATGGTTGTTTTGGAGTCTTGCTTATTCGAGCTTTTCATCCAGAATTGAAACAAATTATTCATATTATGGAGCCAGGGTGTGGACTGGCTACGTTACACCTGGTTAAAACACTTTCATCCCAGTACTTAATACGCAGTATTAATAAATGTAATGGATTTGTAGTGTTGTAATTAGTATATGTACTTTACTGTGCATATGAGGTCATAGGCAAAACACGAAAGTAAAGTTCAGCCAAGATCCATAACAAACTAGTTTGTGGTTAACCGAGCTATAGCAAATCTTTAAACAGCATGATTTTCTACTTGTGAATTGAGAATGAAAAACCAATATTTCGTTTCAGCTTAACGAATGATAATTTCGAGAAATTACGAAGGGCGACTGTACGCCTTAACAAAAAAGAAGAAGATAATCTTAATGGCTTGGTATTGGAAAAACTTAGACAGAATTCTTTCTCTGTCAAGAAGGTAAGGAAATTCCTTAAAGGAATGCTCTGAACGACTTAATGATAAGTTTTAAACTTTTTCTGTTATTTTTGAAATAAGCAAAAAATACAACATTTTATAGTTGTTGATCACTACATTTGTCATTTCCATGGAATTACAGTACATAAGCTTCCTCCAGATATCCTATTCCTATTACAGCTTTTCTGTTGCGATAACATCTTTATACCACTATATCGGTTATTTACTAGTACATAGTATTGTTCAATTCACTACTTTATTCTTTCCTCTGGAGTGATATCTCTGTATGGTTCAGGTGGATGTTGTATCTGCCACCCGAAGTATCGCAACTCGGTTTCAATCCGTGTGTGAGCCTGACTTACTTATTGCTGGTCTAAACGCTATCATCAACAGGCTCGGGAGAAGTAAAAACCCTTTTTTAAATTGTTGTTACGTTTTTAAAAATCTCAGAATGCTTTATTATTATTTTATCATTATTTGTCGTGAAGCAGACTTAAGTCACATTTGTAATTTTGGTCGTTTAAATGAAAGCCTAGGCTAGCTATTAATTATTTTGTAATGCTCGTAATAGACAGGCGATAATTTCAAAGTTTAAAAGATTCATCTTTGCTAGGTAGCAACCACTTTGAAACCAGAGATTTGATAGAGTATGTGAGACTGGTCTTCAAGAAATCCCAGTTTGAAACAGACAAATTGATACACGTGGTAAGCTTCTATCTTGATTCTTGTGTTTCTCAATCTTTATTTATAGTCTTTGTTCATTTCTACCGTATATTTGAATCTGACTACTTCCTTTTTTCAAAATACACTATTTCCAGTTGAGAGAACGAAACGAGTCAGCTCACTCACTGCAGATTTTACTTGAACGAGCAAATCTCAAAAGGGCTCCTAAGGTAAATAGAACGACCCTCTGTTATAAAATCACTTTCTTCTTTGGAACCGAAAGGATACCGGACTGATTGCGAATTCAGTCAGATATCTTGGTCTCGATTTCAAGAAAATATGCCAGATTTTAACAGCATCTAGAAATGTTTACCACTTAAATATTGCAGAGTTCAGCGTTTTGCTCGATGACACTGAAAAAGCAATACGAGCCAGTTCACTTCTTTCTTTGTAACGAGAGCAACACAGTGGTATGAAACATTTAATCAACCTATGCAATTCATTGATTAACTTATATTATTGTCATTTTCAAACTCATGGTCGTCCGAATTATGGAATCAGCACCCACCCAATGAGCTTCAAAATCTCAATATTACAGTTGTCGACCCTGTGCGGTTCTCAAAGTCCACTGTGGGACGTCACTCTGTCCCTACCCTTGGAAACGACTAAAGGATACTCCTTAATCTTAGCGGTATGGGAAACCAAGACACAGGCCACCATGGAAGTTGTTAACGAGGGGAAGAAGTGCATGGGACGTGTCGAGATCGACCTTAAGTCAGTTTTAGTTAGACTGTTGTGAATCATACCGTATAAATCATATTATTTCAATAAAAAACTGGGCTCCTTCATCGACTTCTAGATTTGTAAACATTACCTCTACAGTTAAGCACCGTTACCTTTCAGCTCTCAGATAGCTACGGGTGAACACCAATGGTGGGAACTGAGTAGCGCCAGGAAACCTAACCGCAAGAAGATGAAAGGCAAGGTTAATATGGGGCTGCGGTACAACGCTGATATTGGTCGTCATAGCAACGCTGTAATGGTAAGCTTAACTCGCTATTTTTTACTACTATTATTGTCATACTTTTCGTCTTATAATTGAGGTAGTTGATATCAAGCGATGGTTTGAAGTCTAATGAGAGCTGACTTTAACTACTTCAGAGATAACAGAGCGCGGTCCAAGCTTCTAAGACCGATTCTAGATCAATTAATGTTTTTTTTTCCTGTCTATCTATACCAATATCAATTATTTTATTAAATCAAAGTTCTAAACAAGGGATAGTTAAAAAACAACGCCCAAGTCTAATCTTTCCCTAAAACAAAAACTAAAAATTAAAAACTTCATTGCAATTTCCGCCAATATCTCTTGTCATAACTCAAATTACGGAGATAATGCAGGTCAAAGATATTATTCAAATAAAGATTTCTTTTACATAAATCATGCACAATCAGCGAGAATAGATTGCTTTGGGGTCTTCCTCTTCTCCCTGGTAAGTCCAGTGTATTGATGGCAAAAATGAGGGAAGAAAACGCTGGTCCGTCAATAGGACCCCGCAAAACATGTCCTAACATTCTCCACCGACTACGGGCCACTTTGTCTGACAATGGTTCAGCATTGCAGCGTTTATACATGTTTTTGTTGGAGATGACTCCTGGGTACTTTATATTCAAAATAGTGCGAAGATGTCTGCGGTGAACAACATCTAGTTTTTCAAGGAATATTTTGGGGACGGCCCAACCGATACGACTAAAGCATTATACAGTACTAGACGTTTGTTTAGGGGCAGTTTATCACTCCAGGCCTTCTTGTAATTGTTAAATGCAGCATATCCCAGGTTTATGCGACGCTGAATATCAGCTTTGCTACACAAGACGGACCCTAGAGTGATACTTTTCCTCCATGCTTCATTCCCCGACACTAATTTTCCATCACTGTCGACTTCACCCGTACTAGCTAAATAAACATGAGTGAAGTCCGTTTTGTCTTCATTGACAAAGAGGTTCCATTTCTCGAGTATAGCTGTTGCCTGGGGCAAAATAGCTCTCAAGTTGTCTTCCTCTTCATCATTGAAGTCAACATCATCAGCATATTCAGTGTCAAGTGGAAGGCCAGCAATAGTAATCGGGGGGATCGGCCTATCTAAACTGATTGTTATAGTCCATCTAAGTTCATTCAAAGCACCAGCCAAGACAAGGGTGAACAGACAGCCGGATAGACAGTCACCTTGGAAAGCTCCAAGGAGACTTAAAAACTCAGCTGAAAGAACTCCATTTACCTTCACCCGTAGCTTTGTGTTGGACAACAACAACCGGACAATCCTCAGCTCATCCTCAGTACAGCCACACAGTTTCAGGAGTTCAAGAATCGTAGTGCGTTTGATCGTGTCAAACGCACTAGACATATCAATGCCCATGCGATGATACTCCCATTTTTTCCTTTGGACAACTGACAGTAGAACTCGCTGACACCAAACAATATCAGCACAAGAACGAGCGCGTTTATATGCACACTGCCATGGACCAGTGAAGGCGTTCACTTTTTCTTCTATCCTTTTAAGAGTAGCCATAGACAGAATTTTTCTGGCTGCATTGGACAAGGTGAGTGGACGTAAATTCTTCAGGGGACCAATAGGTTTTTTAGGCTTCTGTAAGGGTGTTATAGTAGCCTCTCCAATGGAAGTGGGGAAAATATGTGTCTCGAAACAACTGTTTATGATTCCAGCATAATGTTCATGGACTGTACTATTAGAGTACTTAATAAGCTCGTTGGGTATTCCATCGGGACCATTTGCCCTCCCATTTTTCAAGCTAGAGGTGGCTGCATGTATTTCAACTCCAGTAAAAGGGACATTGAGAGCACGTGGTAGACCCTCAAAAGGCTCGAGAGGTTGCTCATTGCGAGTCAGCTGTTTTTCGAGATAGTCTCTAACAACAGAAGCTTTCATGTCGTCAGATGCAATCAAACAGCCATTTTCATCATGAACACCAATCGAGTTATTAGGTGGTTTACTTTTCTGAAGATGTCTTACTGCTTCAAACATTTTCCTTGAATCGTTTGTGTTAGTAATATCACTATAGGTCTGATCAGCTTGAGCAGACCTCACTTCAACTAATCTTTTATGGATACTATTAGTGAGGTGGTTGACGGATGACCTCAATGTAGTTCGATCAAGAGATTGATTATTGTTAAGTAGCTGTCGGAGATCGTGACGCTTTTCAACAAGCTCTTTGAGAGTGTCATCACTGCTGTGATGTTTCAAGCGAGGTTTAGGTTTTGGGCCGATGGAAACATTGGCAGCATCACGAATATGAGACATAAGATTTTGAAGGTCGGCATTTGGATCGTTGCTGGTCACAAAGTTTGAGAACTTGCCTTCAAGGGCCAAGTGATATTTATGTTGCATATCTTTGTTGCTTACAAGTTCTGATATATTATAAGAAGGAACACGACGTTGTTTAGGTTTGAAACAAAGATGAATGTTGCTGAAATTGATGCGAGCAATGACAAGTCTATGATCTGAAAATGTTTTAGTACCAGCATAAGTTCTTGATTGAGTCAAAAGACACTTAGATCTATTTCGGCATAGTATGTAATCTATTTGAGAGTATACAGGCAGTGTCTTCTTACTGTACCGACCAGCCGACCAATCCTTCCGCCAACCAGTAAATGATGTAACACGTCTGCTAGGTTGTATAAAACTAGTGTTCACAGCAAACAGATTATTTTCTGAGATAAAATCCAGTAATCTAGAACCATTTTCGTTCCTTACTCCCATTCCGTATTTCCCCATATATCTACCAAAACCCTGTTCAATATCAGAAGGGGATAATTTACCCAGTTTTGAATTAAAGTCACCCAGAAATTGCAACTCCACATTAGAGGGTACATTCTTGGCCTCTCTTAGCTGCCCATAAAAGTTATCCAAAACAACTGGATTTTTACGGACTAGCCCCTGATGTGGACAGTAGGCATTGATTACCCTGCAACGTAGGGGTGTACCGCTACGTGAGGGGATGCAAATATCGACATAGCATACCCGGTCACTGATGTACTTCCAGCAAACCACATAGTTCATCATGCGAGGACTGATTATAAAACCCAAGCCTCCATGGCGACTGTCCAACTGCTCGAACAGAAACAAGTTAAAACCGTTGCGCAAAACAAGGCTGTCTGATTCGGTGACTTTAGTTTCCTGCAGAGCGCAGATGTCGACATTGTACTTTTCACAGTCTAATCCTAGTAACTCACGTTTACTATGTAGGCTATCGTCTTGCTGAACACCGAGCCCACGGATGTTAAATGTGGCGAAGCTAATCATTAATGCAATGGTTGTTGATACAAATGATTTCTTCTTCGGGTTAAATATGTTGGAGTTGGCGTCACCACCGTCTCCACCGCTGACATTACTCGAACTGACCATCTAAATATGTATACTAATAATCCCAATAAATCTGCCGGTTTCGACTGAGCAAGTTCATACTTTTGCACCGTTTTAACTTTTGCACTGTTTATACTTTTGCAATTCAACTGCGATAGTGAACGTGAAGTCCCGGCTCCCGGTCGTAGGCACGGGTTACACTAGTATCTAATAATATTAATATGCTCTTTACATTTAACTTCTACACAGGTTTATGCTGGTATGTTATCAAAGTTCCTGTCGGTGGACTACCCAAAGTCAGGAAGCTTGTCCAGCACGGCAGGCTGCGTGTTAGATCTACAGAGAACCCAACAAAAGGTAATTCCAGGCACAACCTCGGCAACTGTTTCTAAATATTGTTAGTTTCGAGTAATGTTTCATCCAAAGCAAGGGGCTTTGGTTACCGCACTATATTTCGACAGCACTATAATCTGTCCCTAACCTTACCCTTATCCCTAACCCTAACCAATGAGTACCTTTTCGTAAATATAGTGTTGTACCAATATTGTGTAGTTACCAGGGGCTAATTCTATAGAGACCCACTAATCGTTTCAGTTATCTGAAGAGGAATACCAGTTCGCTGATTGGCTGGTACAAAGTGAGCTCTACATCAAGACAAACAACCATTTCGAGAAACTTTATAAGAAACTACACCTTCTACTGGAGTGTGTGGATACTCCTCAGTGTTCACTCTCAGAACAAGATCTTACTCTTCTCTGGAAAACTTTCACAGGTACAACCTGTTCGGTTAACTAAAGTAACTATAGTAACTATAGTAACTATAGGAACCTGTTCGGTTAACTGTAACCCTTTCTCTTAGTTGTTTTCAGTCTCAGCTCAGGTCCTTATTTCAATTGTCAACTAACTTATCGGCTTTAGTTTTTCGGCCTTAATTTGGCAAACTGAGAAGTTTGTCCGGCCCTAAGCATGGCCAAAGGAGCTGGATTTCACCAAATCACTAATAAGGGCAGGACAATTACAGAGTAGGGCCGATAAGGTATCACAAGGGTGATATTCACATATTAGCAAATATTTGAATAATTGATACGAGTTCGAAACCAAAAATAACAAAAACGCTTTCACAGTTTAAACTTCATTGTAGTTATTATTTATCCTATCTAGTCGATCAAACGGGATCAAACTGAAATTTACCCAAGAAAACATTTCAACTATGCGACTCATAGGATTTTACACTATATCTAGTCTATTACACATTATAACTGTTATCCTATCACACACAAAAGAAGTCTATTTTATAGACATTTTTTGTTATAAAGTTTGTTAATGTTATAAAGTTATAACTTTATACACTGAACCGAAATCAATAATCGCTTCAATTGAGAGACTGATTAAATTTAAAAACCGAAAATGTTATTTGTTTCCTTAGACATAAATTATACTTGATCAATCTCGATAGTATCGTAAAAAGGTTCTTCAGGTCGTATTGTGGTAGAGGGTGGTGAGGTATTCAGTTGAATCACGTTATCAACATACACATGTTCAGCGCTGACTGTTTCTCCTCTATTACGTTTCCTTTTTATCCACGTCAATGTTGCAAGTATTGTGAAGAGTACGTTGCCGAGTAGAGATACCCCTGCTAGTACTATCCATGCAACTTGTAGATCGTCTTTAGTTCCTGAGAAATTCATTTATGAAGATATCGTAATGATAATATCAAAACTTAGGGTAGCACTTTTATTAAATGCCTGGTATGTATTATAATTCGGAAGGCAACAAGCTTTACCTGAATGTTCTCTAGTGACCTCCATATTAGCAACTCCTCTTTTGCAGACATTTCCACTGAACTCAAAGCAGCAAATAAACGAGCTAGACTCAGTGGCAGCATCAACAATCAGCACAAAGTTTTGTCTTCCGTTTTTAAAAGGCCCTGGGGAATAAAACTCAAACCCTTTGTCTTCCTTAGTTATTTCAGACTCATTAATATTGTGAAGCCATTTCATGTAGGTGGGAGCTTGGTTTGCACCAGAAAGGACGCAGGACAGCACTGCAGTGGTCTGATTACCCGTGACATGGTAACTGATGGGCGAGATGGTCACGTGATCAATATTCAGAGTAGAGCTGAGAGTCCTGCCTCCAAGCCCTCCATCAGCAGTTAATGTGCAGGTGAAGGTCTGATCTGAGGTGATGCCACTTGCAGTTAGAACCGCTACCTTATCAGAACCAGAGAAATCTGTGGACAAGTTGTAGCACCCTTCCTCTCCTGTTATGGGACTACCATTTTGAGACCATTTAACTGTGATACTTGTTTCAGAGGATGCTCCTGTGAGACTACATGATACCGAGGTACTCTCGCCTGTTAATGTGACTGTGTTTTTACTACTGGTAATGCCCACAACGTCAATCTGTCCTGTTTCTCCAACCAGGTTACCGTTCACCCACGCCCAGCATGTCAAGGAAATATCTTTCCTTAACGCTTCCACTTCTATAGACCAACTGAATACTTGCTCTCCTGTGGTCTCTAAGTCAACAATCCTGTACGAAACACCATTCTTCTCAAACTGACCTGCAGCAATTCCAATTATTTTAGAAGCCGAAGAATCAGTCCACAGCTTCACATTCACGGTCTCACCTTCATCAGCAGTTACCGAGCAAGTCAGAGTGGCAGTTTCCCCTGAGAAGACCATGTCGTTGGTAACTGTCATGGTGAATACTGATATGGCTGGTTGGACGACTGATAAGGTCAGGATGACTAGTGAAAGCGGATAGAACGTCATCACGACCACGGATTATATGCTACTCGTCTAGAATAGAACAGAAGCTGCAAACGAGTGTGTGAGTAACTGAAGATATGTGAGGCGGAATGCAGATCGACGGATACATCATATTATACTGGCTCTGGTATCTTAAGTTTTCCTCAACTGCTCATTTAATGAATTAGCGTGTTATAAAAAGTTCTATCTTCACTTCATTCCGTGCTACGGTTCTTTACACACGGTTTTTGTCTGCTCAAAGTTTAAGTTCAGTAACCACTGTTCTGTTCACTGAGGTATTTGCCGGAATTGCAATCATGCGGCCCGTTATGCAGTCACGGTCTGATATCTTATCCAATAAAATATGTGGTATATATTATGGTTATCTCTTTTTAACTTTGAATGACAAACTCTTCACACAAAAACATCAGCGCCCGACCGACCTGCCTTGTCTGTTCTATGACCAAAACATCTAAGAATATATTGTCGTTACAAGTCACATTTTCAGATGTACAGACGAAGTATATCGAGAAGATGCAGAATCTGAACGCCGAGTACCCCTACGATTTGGAGTCAGCTGTTCTGAACGTTAAATTTTTTACAAAATGTTACCTGGCTATCTCACAGTGTGACATGTACTCAGTGATACACATGCCTGTTATCAAACAGGCTAATTTGGTGAGAATTTAGTTGAAATCTGGGTTCCTACCTTGTATACTATCAGATGCGATAATATACTTGACAATTCGTCTATAGTAACTTAATTCTTTAGTTAGAACACTGCGAAATTCTCGTTAAAGTACTTTACCTATGTGACCATCGACAGATTACCGAATTGCCCTTTACTGGACAGCTCACAGTTGATCTTTGTGTTTCTAACTTTGTGTTTTTAACGAACAATAAACAAACACATATTATGTATCTAGGAGCTGGAGGAAGCATTTAAAAAGAATTCAACCCTTTGGATTGAATCTATTACATCACCCTTCAAATGCGATACTAATGGAAATTACCGGGAGATGGTCACGAAATTAAAAGATATGACTAACGCTGCCCGGGTAAGACTTATTAAACTATTCAATTTTAATAATAATGTGTTGTTAATGACAATGTAATAAGTCAGACCCACAATTCAAATAAAGTCCATGCTCGCTATTTTCACTACGAAGAATTTAATATTTTGAGTAGTAGCCCGAGCTAGCATCTTGCACCTATTCCCTTCAGCTGGAATCTCACTTAATCAAAGTTGGCTGTTGAATACATACGTATACGAAGTACGAACGTGTAATTTTTATTTACAATATGAAATCACATGTATTATCATTAATCACATGTATTTTTTCTTCCCCTTATATTTGAGATAAATTTGGCGGCCTTGTTAATCGCCCTGTTTTTCCCCAGTTAGAGCTTAGGAATGAGTCAAAAACATACGGACCAGCTTTGGAAGGAACACCATACTCATCTGTTCTTCTTTATCAGATAAACGAGAAGATCAGGTAGGCGAGTGACTGTCATTAATTAATGGCTTCTTAAAAATGATGATATTTTATAGATTTAAATCTGAAAACCAGTAATCATGACCCCACATTGCAGTGGTAGCGACATTGCTTTCTGTTTTAACAACCTTATATTTTGATCAGTAACGTCACTATTAACGTGTTGGCCAAAGTGATAGGCTTCTTAAGAGCAGCCCGACCGGAGTCTGAAACAGAGGTGCAGGAGGAGGATCTCCTGAACGACTGTCTGGGTCTTTACGTGGCTGTTGCAGATCTCAAAAAGCTGGTTTGATTCATCAAAAATGATCCGTGTTTTTAGGAGATTTCTAATATTTGCTATTTGTGTCAAGTTGATAGTTAAGTACAGGTGTAAAAATGTTCATAACTGCCTATAGATGGCGCTGATTCTCCCCCCGGCCCTCAGTGAAGACCACCCTTCGTTACTCCCTCTCACCTCAGTGTAAAGACATGGACCCAGACTCCAATCATGCACTGGACAACTTCCACAGCTGGTTCTACAGTGTTGTAGATACCTGGTTACACATGGTTCAGGTGAAGCATCATACTAGGGTCACTAAGTGTGTGGACTTTGACCCGCTGGACAGACTCGACATGCATGTTCCGGTAACAGTCTCGAGATTCTTGTTTTAAGATTTTTATTCCATCAAGTGTCAATAGTTACGGGATCATACACCTTTCCTTTTGATAGAAACCTAGAAATCTATCCACTTAACCCTAGATTTCAAAACATCGTTTAACTACTTAACTAATTAATTAACTAATTGCAATAATTGCCTCTGTCTTCAGTACTCTTCGTGTGTAGTTGACGTGGCCACGATGAACAACTACCTCTGTGAGATAAAGGACATATTCGACTTCCCTGACGACCAAAGCCGATACGCCGTTATATCAAAACTCAGCAGTAAGTATATTGTTACGACAGCAATTAAAGCAACTAGAGCGATGATCGATTAAATTTTGAGTTGAACTTTAATTTCTGCGTAGGTTTCAGTACAGGAAGATGGAATGTAAAAACCGACCTCAATTTTTCAGAGCAAGTTTTTGAAAGTGCACTGCAACTATCTGAATTGCTGGTAGAAAAAGGAAAAGCTATGATAGATAGAGGGCTAAAGAAATCCAGCAACGATAAACTAGAACAAGAGTTAGTGTTAGGAACAAATCATTTTGTTTAGATATAATTGATCTTCGTCTGCTAATAGGCGATATAAAACTTAGTTGGTATTATTCAGAGCCGATACCGCCTTGACTTTTTGCCTTGCTCGACAGAAACAGTAGGTGAATCAAAGTTCAACACTAAAAATAGACAACATAGTACACCACTACCACTAGAATACCATTGTTTACCTGCCCTCATTATAATTACCCGTTACATTCCAACAGTGAGATACTGAAGAAGTCTCTGGCAGTGACATGTTCTCTGAGGGAAAACAGAAACTTTATCGGAACTTTGCCTGAAGTGCTGGGCTGGGACTCCTTCTCTAGCACCACTGTTCACCACCAGAAACTGAGCTCCAAGCTTGATGAGGTACACGTGCTTCTTATCTACACGTGCTTCTTATCTACACGTGCTTCTTATCTACACGTGCTTCTTATCTACACGTGCTTCTTATCTACACGTGCTTCTTATCTACACATGCTTCTTATCTACACGTGCTTCTTATCTACACGTGCTTCTTATCTAGGTGCACTTATGACTTGCTTCTTATCTAAGTACACACTACAAATGCTTCTTGCTTAACCCGAGTCGAATGTGACAAAAACACATTCTCTGAGTCTAAATGTTTAAAATTTTCTTATTTAATATTTTCTAATCCAATATCTCCATCTTAGGCGGACAAAGTCATTTTACGTTTCAAAATTCAGTGGATGAAGATAGTTTGTGAAAGTTTGATCGAACCCAAATTCGTGGAGGCATTCGAGAAGTTCATCAAACAAGCTTACCGGTGAGTAATGTATTAATGATAGTTGATACAACCATAGCCCGAGTAGTAAAAACATAGCTACTAACGTTTATACCGAATCCAATATTATACATACGATGATTACAAATAATCATTTCGGTAATATCAATCTAGTAATCATTATGTTTCCTCTATTATTACGGCCAGGTAGCGCAGTTGGTTAGAACGCCTGTCTTACAATCGTTAGGTTGCGAGTTCGAAACCCACTGACTGCCTGGTCGTGGGGTGAGCGTCGTCGACGTTCAGCTAAGGATCATGAGTGGTCTATGCAGCCCCCCGGTCTACTCAGCCGAATACTCGAGAAATCGGGTGTGAGGGTTAAATGAGGAGCTGCACATTGCAGCAAAGTCTCGGACGAAGAAAGTATGGTACACACTACCTTAACCGTCACTGGCCAAAAAGATCCTTCGGCTTCCTGTAATTGGCTGGTTGCACTTGTGTAACATTGTGGCTGTTGGAATACACCGAAGTAAAATAAGTGTCTAGATAAAAAAAAAAAATTCTATATTATTCTATAATCTATATTCTATATTATTCTATATTTCTTCTATCATTTAGTCGGGACAGTACAGCCTCGGATACGCTGGTAAACATGTTACTGGAGGAGCTCACCAAGATACACTCTAACGTTGAACCCAGCTTGTTTGAGGACATGCTCACTATAATCTGGGAACGGATTATCCTTCCTCAGTTTGAGAGGCATGTGGCAAAGAGGCCCACCAAGATTAAGAACTACTACGATATTCTTCAGGTAGATATTATATCACACTGGAGTCATTTCAAAATTCGTGAAGTATTCGTAATACATGTCTGATGAAATAAGATTTCCCGTAGAAATATCATCATGAATGAAGTATGTATAAATTGTAATTATGAATGAATTTTAACTTTTCTATCCAGGACAGTTTCAAGGAGGTTTCCGAGTTTTTTGTATCAGAAATGAGTACGTTGGATCACGTGATTACCCAGAGCCTACGGTACAACAAACTCATCTACATACTTCAAAACCTCACCATCTCACTCGACGACCTCTTGTTCAGGTGGAAATTCAAAATAATTTAGGTTCGGTCACAGAATGCTCGTTTGATGGCAAGACATTTTTCGTTTTACGGACATAGAACATTCGGAACATACGATCACAGAATGGTAGTTGACATGAGGGCAGACCGACCACGAAATACGAATGTCATTCGTTTGGCTAATTAATTTGTTTATTAATCCAGGTATTTCTTGGAAGAGAGTATACAGGAATCTAAACAACATTCCGAGCTTGGCTTCATTACATTCACTGCATTTCTAACAAAACAAAAGGATAAAACTATTGTCAAGGTGAGCGACACAGAGAATGGTTAAAGTTCAATCGCCGCCGAAATTGGAAGAAGCTTAAATTTATTACATTTTAATGGCTCGTTTTGCAGGTATATCCAGCATAAAATATAATCTAAGGGAAACTTTATAAAATCTGAAAAATGTCCAGGTGACGGTAGTAAGATGCTCAGGACTACCAATAATGGACACGCTGGGGAAGTGTGACACCGTCGTCAAGGTTACCATTCAACCCAGACAAACCTCACATTTCTCTCACCTCAAGATTCAGTCCACTAAGCCTGTCTTCAACGACCTAGACCCGGTCTTCAAGTATGTTATATTTGTGAGCTGCTTTCATTGGTGGTCCTTGTAAGAGTCTTATCGAGATTTGATACCTAACACACCATTTTAATCATACCATTTTAATCATACTATTCAAAACTTTTTGCCATGATTTAAACTTTTTACCACGATTAAAACATTTTACCTCGATTTGAATTTTCGACCACATCTCAACGACACGCCTACAATTGCAGCCAAGAGTTCGAGTTTTCATTTTTCACGGATGTGAACGAGCTGGAGGAGGGAGCTTGTATCCAGTTTACCATCTGGGATAAAGACAGGTTATCTGCTGACGACTTTATTGGCGAGACACTCTGTGATCTTAATTGTAGGTTCACTGCAATCTTCACGTGTTTTTATAATTTGTTACAATATATTGGATTCAAGTCATGATCATTGATATAGCTATAGGTTAACATAGATTATAGATCATCGAAGATAGGTCTGTATATATTCAAGATTTATTTATTTATGCAGTCAACAGTGTTTAAAATAATTTCTCAATCATTGAGCTAACTTGTTCCCTTCTCAGCTGTTCCATTCAACAAGCCCGAAGAGTTTAAGACACATATAGCCCTTCCAGATCTAAAAAGTTTAAGCTATGATGTGATCGAACACCGATGTCCGTATGAGAAGACTGCTGAGAAGTTCATTAAGGAGCGGTCCCTTCTGGTAAGTTCGCAGAAAACTCAATTATAATTAACTGTAATACTAATAATGTGAACTACGGTAACCACAAAAAAGGTTTCCCGATATATCGGGAAACCTTTTATGTGTTTACTGTTTACCGTAGTTCACATTATTAGTATTACAGTATTAGTATTACATTCCGGCCATTTGTAGAGAAACTGATGTGGTGATATCTTAATCTTATTGATAAACAATTAAATCGCTACCCGCAGATCAACGAGGCAGGAGAGGAGTTTATTTCGAAACGAGCATCTGCTCTGACGATATTCCAAGATCTCAAAGAACGGATTCGAACTTACTCGCTGACGGATTGACCATAATAAGTGAAACAGGTAGATGAAGTTCACAGCACGCTACCTAGTCTTATATCAGCACAGAAAGAGAAGATCTGAAGAAGAATCAGAAATAATGCTAGTTTTTAGCAGTGTTCAGAATCAGAAAGTAAATGAACAGACAGGCCAACATATTTCTGTGAGATTTTCCAGATCGAAATAATAATAAAAGAAGATAACGAAAAACAGATTTTGTTGATGTCTTGTTTAATAGATTATTATTTATAGTTATGAATCACTTGGTCTCCTATTTTCGGACACCCTGGCCCTAGGCCTATGATAATGATAGAAGTAGCGAATATATGCTTTCTTTAGTGGAAATTTATAAATTTTGATGCAGATTAAGTGTTAAGGTAAGAGCAGATGTATAATTCCAGATGTATAATTCCGGCTATTGAGATAGCTTGGGATGAATAATTGATTTTACTTTAAACCTCATATTAACTGTTTCACTTTTAAATCTTTTAAATGGTCCTACCATACCAGGCATTTTACTGGTGGACAAACTTAGCTATATTAGTTCGACTGAATTAGCACGACTAAAAATAGAACAGCCCTCAGCATCTTATTCAAACTTGTATTATTCAGGATGCGGCATCAATTTCTAATCCTGCACCCACTACCCCGGCCCATTGGCATTGTTCACGTCAATAAATACAACTGCTTTTGTACACCACCAGGTCACTGAATAGTGACCACATCCTCCACCTCCTTTCATAGAATATACTCCCCTTTGTTTTCAATATCCGGCAATATTCGGACCGGATATTGAAAACGAAAGCGACCCAATGCCAACTATATGAATATTATTTGTGAAGGTTTCAGACCCTGGATCACCACAATTCAAAAGTTTTGACCTGCTGACGTAGGTTACTGATAGTTAAAATGAGGATGTTTCTTGGTTTATGCTTGTTTGTTGTAACAATTGAGAGTGGACGGTGTGAGTCTGGGACGATTGACGGAACTCTCTCGGAAATTGATAGTTTGTTGACTGTTAACAAACGTGCTGAACGGGGACGATGTAAGTTGATATCCCTTTAAATAAAATTCATGAAATTGAAACAGTTTGTACTGTGAAATCACAATATACGTATGTATAAGTTTGTGTAATTTGTTTAAAAGTTTAAATAGGTTCGGTTCACAATTTGATACAGAAATATTACATGTCTTTTATTTTACCTCTTATCTGGGAACTAAAACTAAAACAGTGACTATTTTCAACACTTAACACAAAATATATGAAAATTTTCATCCTCAGTGTTGAAACTATTTCAAAGACTGTTCAAAACATTTCGCAAACTCTACAAACGAAGCTACGATCCCAACGAGTCAGGTGGCAGATTCAAACAGTTTGTCAAAGCCGTTAAAATGATACTCTCCATCAACAAACAGGGCTTTGAATTCAAAGCGGAGATCAACAAATTTACAGACATGGTAAGTGATAAGTTCTCAGTTAGTTCTCAGGTAAGTGATTAGTTTATTAGTTCTCAGTTGACGTTTTTTCCGTGACTTTATGTAGAACAGAACTAGGGTTCCAGAAAATGCTCTCGACATTAACCGTTGGCAAGGGTATCGAGAAGTTCATAGAGTGGTCCATTGTTGCGTACAAAGCTGCACCTATATCCTTGATGAAGTCTTTGTAAGCTCTTTCGTGGAGGAGTGTGATTGTAACAGCACCGTCAGTAGCTGCAATATCCACCCGCTCTCTTATCTTGTCATCATCCCAGCCCAAAACATTTTGACCGTTGACTTCTGTGATAAAGTGGTTGGTGGGGATACCGTTCCGAGCTGCCGAGGTCCCCGGAATGACCTTGATGATCTGAGCAGAGCGGATCCTGAAACCAAAATGTCCAGAACTATCCCTGAGTAGCGTGTACATCTTCTCGTTAGGACGATCTCTGACAAAGAGCGTCAGTTCGTCTCCAGAAGAGTTGATGATTTCCTCCACCTGACTCAGCAATATTCCCGAGCAATATTCCTGTCCTATCCGGAGGATCTGGTCGCCGTATTTTAGCCCTGCTCTGACAGCAGGACCATCACTCTCGATATGATTTACATACACGCCATTATCCATTACCGTAATCTTGAACCCAAAACAAGGGGGTTTATCTTCCTCCAACAGCAGTGAAAAGTTACGAGGTCGATACACCAGCAGCATCTTGACTCCGTCCCTGATTCTATCTATTTGGTTAGCCGAGGATTTGCCAGTGATGGGCATGTGAGAGAGACCTTTGTTGAGAGTGTAAACCCCATCCTCACCATGATACAACCCCATCCACTCTGGTAGATCAGGGTGGTTAGAGTGAGGATCCACAGCCACTTCAAACTGCTTCTCGACCAGATAACAACTGTCAAGATCCTCAACCGTCGGGAAGTGGTCCCAGACTTTCTCTCCTTTAAGAGAGTCGGCCTTCTTCACTGTGTGCCGCTTTACCGGACCATCTGGAACAAACATCAGGTCCGCTTGTCTGACAAAAGACCTCTGGTATTTGTCTGATAGTTCGTTGTCGTATTCTGGTAACCTGTTTTTCTTTGCTGCTAGTCTACGTTCACCATCCTCAGTAAAATGCCTCCTTCGGTACTCCAATAATTTATCGTCCAGATGGTCCTCATCTTTTTGACCTCCCAGAGTGTTGACACTAAATCTACTGACAGGTCTGTCAGTGGTAGGAGTTAGATCCATTTCATCGTCTTCGTCAAACTCTGTGATATCCCGTTCACTGAGTCTACTGATGGTCCTGTCAGCTTCTTCTAGAACTCTCTCGCTGAAAGACATGCTGCTGGAGGGTCGGGAGGAACTCAACAAACTTACAGCAGAGTCATTGTAGAAAGAGTTAGGCCTTCTCTTCGTCTTAGCATGGTTCTGAGGGCTCCTGTAACTGAAGGAAGATTGAGGTCGTGCAGGGAGAACGGGGCTCCCGAACAGACTGGTCTCGTCTCCAGTAACCACCTCATGGTGCCCCATTGCTGAGTGCACCTCCCTTCTAGCCCCATCCTCACTAACATAACGGGGTCTTCTGGTGCTCATATCGCGGGCCGGAACTATCTTATCATGATCAAATCAACTGTAACAAATGAAACCGGTGTTTATGTCAGCTGAAATACTGCCAAATCTATTTGTCTTTAGTATTTCGTGATGGTCTGACATCCAGCCCAAGCAGCTTACATCTTATTTAGATACGTTAACTTCACTGGTATGGTTAATTATCAATTATCCTTGTTAAAATATTATCATGATGTAAAACATAACATGTTAATTAAGTGTATCCACTACCTTTTGACCTTATTTCGATCTGACCATCTTTAACCTAGTGTAAACAGATAACCCATTACAGAGTGAAGACGAGAAGAACTCAAATACGGGGGTAAATGCGAGCGAGTATCTCATGTTTGAAGAGCGGGACAATGCTATGAGTGGGGGAACTTGGGTAGATTTAGAAAAGAGGCTGAAAGCAGCACCGGATTCATTAGATTGGGTCACTGAGGGGAAGACTCTAAAACCACTTGAACAGGGGGACTGTGCTTCTTGTTGGGCTATGGCCACGGTCAGTCAGATGTTTGGTGATGATTTTGGGTGTAGTTTAAGTTATAAGCATACTGATATCAAGATATCATCACTTTAGTGGAAGGATTTAGATTTCAGATTTGGTGGTTGAGATCTCTGGTAATATAATAATAGCAAATAGAGAGCTATACAGTGTTTACACTCGAAACGCCTGGAACATTTAGCATACATTTAGCATACACTTAAACTCTTAGTATTACAAAGATTTAAATACTGCATAATATACAGAAAGTGTTAAACTAAGAAAGTATAGTTAACTTTTATTTACTTACAGATTAGTGCTGTTGAAGGTAGATATGCGATAGTGACAGGGAAATTAAAGAGATTTTCGGTGCAGGAGTTGGTCGATTGTACTTATGAATACACAGGAAGCGACACAGGGTGAGATAAAATAGCGTATTTTGATTCAGAGATCTCATGATCATATAATACTTACATTATGGGTTAACGGGTGATACTCGTAAAATATTTGTTCCAAATATTTGTTCCAATCAGGACCGTCGACGAGTCCAACTCGGCGCGCGTCCTGGTAGGTTGTAAACCTACAAATTATGGGAGGCATATACCCGTATATTAACAAATTAAAATATTTATTGTTCTTGTAAAGGGGGTTTTAGGGGGTTTGGAAAAGCTTGTAATTTCTACACAATAGTTATGTGTAAAGTGGTATGTGGGGGTCTAGAATGGTTAAAAGAATTTGTGAAGAAGTTGCACATGCTAACTCATTTGAAGCTCATATGGGCCTGTCATGGGCCACAATGGACCTGTCCTAAAACTACACACTATAATTCCAAAGGAACTGTCTAGCAAGCAGACCACGGACACAAGCATAATTAGATAATTAGTAGTAATCACCCTGAACAGGTGCAGTGGAGGCTGGTTTACTAAATCCTACAAGTACATGAAGACAGGAGGACACCTTACTCTTGATGCTGACCTTCCTTACAATGCTAAAGGTAAGAACATAGTTACCTGGATACCTGCGGTTTTGTTGTTCTGGCGGAGACAGGAGAGAGAGAGGTCCAGCAAAGAACATAACTCCATAAAATTATAAATATAATGTTCCTCACACCGCAGCACGTACAGTTTTATCCAAATCGAGTCTTCAAGTAGTAAGGATATGACGATACCATTGTCATTTGTGATCTTGCGAAAGCAAAAGCCGTCAATCATCTGCATGTCACTTCAAATGAGTTATTTAATATTTAATATTTAATGATGATTATATCTCAGATGGAACGTGCACATCAGCCAGCCTACCCAACGGTTTCAAAGCAGCAAGTCTAACAGCCTGGAAACAGGAAAAGAACCCGACTTTCGACCAGATGGTGGTTGCTATACAGGATGGCCCTGTATCTGTTGGGGTCAAGGTATAATGCACCATTACTCAGTTCACATTAACATTCACTCTTTAGAGGAGGGTATCGAGTAAGTCTACGGGATGGTCTGCGGACTAGGTTGGGTTACTTGGATACTGCCTAGCGGAGTCCGTGGACCTCGGACGACCAACTTGACCAGTGCCCATACTTGGTTTATTTTTGGGCCAATTATGCCTAATCGACTTTAACATACGAATAAAGCATAAAGGTTTATATTTTAGGCCCAGGACGATTTCTTCCAGTACGGCACAGGAATTTACTACAATCCGACCTGCTCAACCGACCTCAATCACGGGCTGGTCGGTGTGGGCTACAGTCCCAGTTACATTGTTCTGCGAAACAGGTACATCCAGTTTGTACTTACTATTACAGTATTACTATTAGTATTCAACATTCACTTTCAAAGGATGATATACTTTGAATTTAGTATGTAGTGCTGAAATTGGTGCTCATTTGATTGGGAACCAGCTTTGTTTACTGGTTAATGTTTACTCAAGAATTTATACATACGATAATATATACAATAATTTTATACCTAAATCTGCTAGTATAAAACCAAAATAACTCTAAGAATATACACCGCACGAAATTATGGACCTGGAAGTAAGATTAAAACTTCAGCTTAATACACAAATCAAAACAAAATATTAGAAGATTGGCAGTCTTGTGTTGAAAGACGAATATGATTTAGAAGCTTATCAAAAAATTAAAATCTTAGCGAACCAAGAATCCATAAATTCAAACAAATCTCTATCTTAACACATTTCAAACAACAATTTTGTCCACACTACTCACTTTGCCTCCTTTGATGAAGTGTCTTTTATCTGGCTCGTCGTTCGATCTCTTCTTGAGGCCTAAAACAAGCTTTTGCTTTTCGGCACATTCTTCTGGAGACCTATCTGGACTGATAAAGACTTTACCGAAAAGTTCTGAGCTACGGAAATGCCTTGCTCTAGTCAAAATCTGCTGCACGATTGTGGAGCTCGTCAACATCACCTTAACAGGTCTATCAGCCACTTGTTTCTTATCCTTGGGTTTATTCAAACCAATTCTGCTAGCTTCTATTTTTGGCTTTTCTCCAAGTTCCAACAACACTTGACCGACCTTGTCACATAACAGCTCACCTTTCTCTTCTTTAAGACCAAATAAAATCAGATTCCGACTTCGGTCTCCTTCTCAATTCTGCCACAACATCCTTAATGAAATTCTTCAAGATGTTTCTATCCGAATCCAACAAAGGACCTGCAGAGTGCAGCTGAGGTTTTTGATTCCTGTACCGCGGTGCTGTATGTCTTTAACTCTGATTTCCCAGTATCCTCAACTGATGCTACAACCACAGATTTCAAGTCATCAAGCTGCTTGTCCTTGGTAGCTTGGTGTTGAATTTGGATTTTTTGATTTATAAATAGAGATGATGAAAATTATACTATCAGTAATTGGTAATTATAGTATCACGTAGCACGTCGACATGGCGCGACATAACCTATTAATCGAAACTAAACTCCATTATCTGCAGCTGGGGGTACGATTGGGGACAAGGAGGGTACGTGTATTTCACACGGACTCATGGCAATGTGTGTGGACTTACCTCTTACATGGTCTGGGGAACTCTGACTCCTAACGGCGGGACAGACGACGACCCAGCAGCCATCCCTGAGAGTGCTAACGGAGGTTAGGGCCGCTGAAAGTGAAAGTGAAAGTGAAAGGTTATATACGGTTATGTAACTGAGTAACTGTCACTCCGAGGGATAAATGATCATGAATTGTATAACTATTATTGTATACACTTACAGTTGGCCTGAAAATTATGAAATTGATAGAAAGCCAACCATTTGCTTTTCAAATGTCTGTTCTTTCGTAACGACTGTGCTTTAGGGCTTCAGGGCTTGAAAGGTCCCACGCTGTAATGTGTCTCATAATTCTTTGTTTGCAGTTAGCTTTTATCCAACTCCCCGGCTTGAGGGAGTGTCACTGTCAGGTTACTTGGGTATTAGTTTTACCGTTTTTTAACTGAAAAAGAAAAACAACAACAGTCTCACCGAAACCCTTATAACTTTATAACTCTAACATATAACCCGAACCCTGACCCGAGCCATAAACAATCGAATTCGTGTTTCACTAGCCTGTCGCGTGACTAAAACAGTATTTTGCTCAATTGCTCATAATACATCATTCCTCAGGGAAGCGTTTCAACCCTACATTTCATATGCTCAAGGCCCTTTTAATTGTAAAAAATGTAATATCCTTGGCGAGCGATTTAGTGGGACCGCTCTAATCTCGATTCTCACACCCCTATCTCACACATCGCTCTAACCTCACACATCTCTCTAATCTCACACACCCCTCTCTAACCTTACACCCCTCTCTAACCTCACACACCCCTCTCTAACCTCACACACCTCTCTAACCTCACACCTCTCTCAAACCTCACACACCTCTCTAACCTCTCACCTCTCTCTAACCTCTCACCCCTCTCTAACCTCACAACCCTTTCTAACCTCACACCTCTCTCTAACCTCACACCCCTCTCTAACCTCACACCCCTCTCTAACCTTACACCCCTCTCTAACCTCACACACCTCTCTAACCTCATACCCCTCTCTAACCTCACACCCCTCTCTAACCTCACACCCCTCTCTAACCTCACACTCCTCTCTAACCTCACCACTACCTCCTAACCTCACACTCCTCTCTAACCTCACACCCCTCCCTAACCTCACACCCCTCTCTAACCTCACACCCCTCTCTAACCTCACATCCCTCTCTAACCTCACACACCCCTCTATAACCTCACACATCTCTCTAACCTCACACACCCCTCTCTAACCTCACACCCCTCTCTAACCTCACACCCCTCTCTAACCTTACACCACTCTCTAACCTCACACCCCTTTCCCTGTAGTTTGTAGAGACCAGGAGCCGGAGCAGTGCGGGGAATACGGACTGATTGGGTGCTCAGATCCGATGACCAGTAACTTCATGAAGACAAACTGCAGGTTTACCTGCAAGATCTGCACTGTGCCCACAGGAGACGGTTAGTCCCTTCTCTTCAATACATCACATAGATAAAACTGAGCTGTTCCTGGCACCATGCCAATCAACACTCACCAAAATAACCAAATAGCGTGTTTAGTAGCAAGCTTGTGGTCAGGGGGTCCTCCCTATTTTCATGTAAGGGGTCGTGCTAATCAATAACAATCCCACTTTCCAGACGATTGTCCTCCGGGTGAGATAAAATGTGGAGCGGAGTGTAAGGCGCCGTCCATCTGTCAGCATTCTGGATAGAGAGTAGAGATCTTGACATATCAGAGGGCAGCCGGTGGTAGTACCAGTGCCAGTACCAGTGACTCTAATCTAGTGGAGCTACCACTGCCATGCCACCGGTGGCACCATTATGATATCAGCTGCTCTTTAGTTTATATGGAAACATGAACTTTCCTGAGCTGAGATTAAGAATCTAGCAGTGATATCTAGGACTCGAAGTCAATAAATTTTAATTTAGAATTAGAAACATTAGTTATAATTATAATTAGCGTTGATCGTTGATTTGAGCTGAAATGTTTAATTTGGTAGTATATTTTGAATAGTATATTTTGAATGGAGCAGAGCCCGTCAAAAACTATTTTGAGATCAAGAGCTGATTCCAAAGAGGACTCTTACTGATTATAATAAGTGGGCATATTGTCTTATTTTATCATTTGGTCACAGTACTTGATCTTCAACTTTAAAATTATCACAGTTATTACATTTTATGAAGTGGTTGTCTTTCTTTGTTCGTATCAGCTACAACTGTATTGAAATCACTATTTCAGTATCAAAGAGTTTTCGAGAACATTTACATTTTCCCATATTTCTTCATTCTTGCCTTTTGGGTTTATATGAGGCTGAGTGCCAAGGTTGGGATTAATTAATTATGACTGAAGCTATTGCTCACGTACAATTATTAAGACATAAATTTGGACAACAGCCGCCGGGATCATGTTTCAAATTCGGACAACAGTCTCCAACCATATTCTGACACAAATCCTGTCCGAACACAAGTCGAGTTCGGACACAAATCGTGTTCGGACACACATCGTGTTTGATTCTCAAATACCATAAGACTGGCACATGGCAGGTACCTTGCTCAAATATTCAGATACAGCGGGAGGATGCACACTCTGCTTGAGAAGTATCAGTTACACCCACAACTTCTCTCCACCATTCTGTGTGGAGAGGAGGGCACCCACCGTAACCCTTCCATGTGTGTCTAATCTAATCTGGACTGCCAGGGAGGGGATACAGCTAGTTTTAAAGTTATCAGCAGCCCGGGACAGATTATCAAAATACGTCCCTGACGTCATCTCTCTTTAACTGAGCTATGTTTTTAACGTGAGAGCATTGCTGATTTACACAATTAAGTGTTTACCCCGCGGTATCGAGGGAAAAGGAGCGGGCCGATGATTATAAACCTACATTCAGTATGTTTCACACGGTAAGTGGGGTAAACTGAGGGTGAGATGATGGGAGCTTTGTCCCTGTTTAATGAGATCCTTTTTAGAGGGCGTAAATAACAAACAAGCAATTCACCCAGTTCCCAGTCTCAAGTCTTTCTCAGGTCTGTTTGTCGAGCTGCTGGATTGATCCAATTATTTACGAAAATATTGCTGTGGATTATGGATCCGAGCAGTTTAAAATAATGTATCGGGTAGGGAGATTTAGAAGAGAGACCACTTTAGTAAAACTTCCGGCATATTTAGACAGCAATATCCGGGTGTGGCATTTAACTTTGTTACATGTTACGTGGAAATTGCTGGATACATATTTTGAAAACATTTATGAACGGTTGCCCTTGAATCTCAAATTTCTAAGAAAGAATTAATTTTTGAATTTTTGCGTGATTGAAACTTGCGTCTAGAATTTACAGACGCACGATATAATTTTATATCAATGCATCAGGTGAACGAAATAAAAACAACTTACTTTAAATTCAAAAAATTAGCAAAATATCAACGATAAACAAATTAAAAATACACTTTCAACAGAAATATAATCTCAACAAAAATAAAAATCGCGGACGTCGAATATAAGTCTTTGATTGGTTCATCGTCAAATAAATATTACATCTCGGTAGCTATTCTCAAACGTCAAGATCACTTTTCAACTTGCACTGTGCACTTAACAAATCTCGGAACAATTTTACTGGAAAATTATTCATGCTTAAGGGTAGATTGAAGTTATTGTGCAACGGTTTCAGCGCTAATTCATGTCATGTTGTCAAATTTCGCAATGTGCATTGTGCTTAATGACCTTCGATGTAGATCGCAACGATCTTCGACGAAATGATGGATATAATTTATCAATAAAACTTACTGCAAGTTAAGCATCTAACTCATAAACAGCAAAGCAACAGTTTTAATTTTTCTAAAATGTATCAGCAAAATGTCTTTCTGATCTAACGTTTACTTCTTTCTCGAGCATATAATAAGTCCACCGAACTTAATTCAGTTTCAAACCCTTCTTCAATCCAACTAGGTTTGCTGCGAGTCATTTCTATTTGTCTATAATGGAGACGAAGAATTCTCCGGATGTAATTTGTTTCACTCGGTTTTCCCGATCAATAGTCCATGAGAGAAACTATGGTGGGGGTGGTTGTGATGATGACTCAGCTGCTGGAGGTGATGAGAAAATCCGAACCCTTCTGGATGGATGGACAAGGACGTCTTCACCCTCTTTTCTCGCTGTCTTCGATTGCAGAACCACACTCTTACAACTTCTTTCTCCAGACCCAGACTTTTGGCGATTGCTTGGATTTCTTGAGAGGACGGCTTGGATTGTCGTTCAAAGTGCTGTTCCAAATTATCCTTAGCTGAAACTCCGATCGTAGTTCTTCGCTTCCTCTTCCTCTCGGACGGTGAAATCTCTTGTCCGTGTTTCCCTGATTTCTCCGTCTCCTCCAACCATTTCCTGAGAATGGGCATCAGCTTGCAAGCGTTTTTGAAGCTCAGCTGAAGGTTTTCAAATCTGCAGATGGTAGTCTGGCTGAAGTCTGTTCCGTGAACTGAAGCTAGGGCTCCTCCAACGTTGGTTTGTGTGTATCCAAGCTTAATCCTCCTAATCTTGAACTCATTAGCGAAGTCTTCCAAAGTTTTCAGCTCCGGAGGGTTACCGAGAGCTTCAGGGGAGGTAAGCAACAGGGGTTTGTCATCCGACAAGCGAGGCGGAGAGACCGGGTGAGGGTTGTGGTGGAGATGTTGGTCCTGAACTCTAGCCAAGTGCTGACTGCCGTGGAAGGAAGGCACATGATGTTGTCCGGTCTGGTGCTGCTGAACATGATGGTTCTGCAGAGCGTGAATGTGCGAGAGGTTAGTGGAGGAGGGGGTCTGCATGGCTTGGGAGGTGCAAGGTCTGGAGAAGCCGTGCGAGGAGCTGCTCATGTTGGCGGGTTGGAAGGAGGAAACCACACTTCCAAGGTTGAAGTTCGGGCTGCCACAGTTGAAGGGGGAGACCTGAGTGAAATAGTGCGGGAAGTATTCATGAACCATAGTTGGCATTTTTCCTGGGTCAGGTTTTACCATCGACGATATGGTGGGAAGCGATGAATTAATCAAGGGGTTCATAATGCTATTCATGGTACTTAAAACCGTCACACCACAAAGCTGATGAATAAACTACAAATAGTCTGCGCTGAGCTAAGCAACTTACTTCTCTCCACCGCGAGCCGCGTGACCCCATTGGTCAAGGCGTTGTGACGTCACGTGCGTGAGAGCCAATCAGCATGCAGCAGGATTAGAGAGGTGAGCTGCTTGTGCAGGGAAGGGGCGAAGGGTTCGTTCATGTAAACATTATCATTACACTCGATAGGTGTGGAATCCTCAATCCAGGGCCAATATTCCCCATGCATGTTGATTACTTTGTTTCATTCCTTTATCCCAGGTAGGGTGCAGCCTAATTGCATAATTGCATTCTTAATATGTTACTTTCAAATTGAGGGATTTACATTATGATAATAATATATACTTGAAGTGCCATGGCATTGGCAAGGGCTCAGAGAAAATTGAATATTCAAATCCGATTTGAATAAGAGAAGACTAAAAAAGTTGGCAACAATTACTATGTGACGAGCTTGGATTTGATTGGACGCTATAGGTAAAATTGACACCAAAAGCTCAACAGGAATCCAGCGGACCACAACCTTTTGATAAAACTCCGATAAATCATAAAATATGCAGTAACAACATGACAGCACCGAAAATAAAACCATGTTAAACAGCCACCAGCCGCCAGGTAGTCACTGTAAAACTTATGTCACCAAATTAACCACAGAATGCAGAACAACAAGCTGCTGATTGAAACGTCAAAATCTGCCTTCTCTTCAGTTGTCATGGCAATTCCTCCGTCAGGGTACAGAGTCACGGACCATAAAATGAATCTGAAGCAGTGAAATAATAGGAAATTCCTATGTTAATCTAGTTATAACAGTTTCATTACCATACTCCACATGTTGGTTTACTACTAACTACATCATCAGCAGTAGGTACCTATGTAAGTACAATGCACTATCTCCATGTACAATGTACATGCACATAGTCTAGGGAATAGTGCCGAAACTATCTTACGAGTGTAAATACCCATTTTTGCTGTGGTAAGATGGTACCTAACTCATTTAAAAGTGATATGAAGCAGGGGGGGGGGGGGGATAAATTGGCAGGGATATGACGAACAGGGCATCAGGAGTGATGGTATCTCACTACACAATCTGAGACAACATTTCTACACAATCTCCAGCAAACATTTTACTTAAAAACACTTGATCCCAACTTATCAGATAACAAACTACTGTCCACTACTACAGTCTTATAGCCGTGAAGGTCTGTCCAACAAGTCGTCCCCTCTCACCTCTTCAACCACCAACATGTAAAGAAGTCAGTTTAGATATCATGAATATGATTAAGCGGACCTCTTTACACTTGATCAAATTCATAATCTAATATTGAAGAGGCACTGAATAAATCACTCATCATCATGAGACTATAACCTTCTATTTCCGTGTACACTTTTCCGTGTGGCTGCATGTCAATTGTGAGTAGTGCCAGTTTATTGTTCTCTCTAGCAGCGGGGTCTTACTTTTCCATGGTCTACAGTATGGTATGCTAGATTTGCCTCAATTTTCCAACTAGATCTCTGTTCTAATCGATTTAGCTTGCCTCGTGGTTACTATGGTTACTGCCTCGTGGACAGGTGATTTGCACTCGTTTACACGCGTTCACACCCCCGGAATCTTGAGACTTGCACAATGCACCCACAAAATTGTCAATCATGGCTTGAGCTGTTGAATATTTAATTCCAACACGCGCTCACCTCAACCCTCACAATGCAAACTCTCTGCTGAGTCGATATTAGAGGCCATTGTTCGGAAAAGTGCTGACTGTTCGATTTATGGTCAAATCAAAATTGGGAAGAATATAAATGTTTTGTTCCCATGTTCTATAGTATGACCGACGATTCTGGATTCGAAAAGCTGGCATTTTGGACCAATAAGAGGCATCAGAGAACCATTATCACCGCAAGATATAGTGCCTCAAATCTGAAACAAGTAGCGCCAACAAATCTCATCCAGGGGTGCATCAACATATTATTTGTTATTTTGAACAACCTAAGTCATGCAGGAGCTTGATTGATAAAAGGCAGATTCGTAAAATTGCAAATTAGGATTAAGTACATCAGTTGAGAAAATGCAGAATAACCAACCGTTAAAACTTAAAGGTTAATCATATAAATTATAACATAAATCCTTATGTAATATATGTATGAGATACGTACTGATATAGCTCCCTATATCATCAGTAAATTCATAACGCTCGGGGTACTGAAAAATTGTCGGGGGATATACGCAGGTCCATGCTTTCATTGATCACTATCTATGCAAAGAATCAGTAAAATATTTCAAGTCATACAGAGAATCATATCAGCTTATAATTATCTTCACTAAGATCGATCTTCACTAAGATTCACCTGCACTAAGAATCATCTTTGCTTAGAATCATCTTCACTAAGAACTAACTTCGCTAAGAACCATATTTGTTAAGAACCATATTTGCTAAGAATCATGCTCGCGATCGGATCATCTTCGTAATTGCATCATGTTTTGATATTTCCCAATTATCCATCAATACAGTACCTCCTATTGTGCAGCTGATTACCAGTATGAAGTTTAAATTGGCATGTCACGTTGAGCAGGTATAGCTCCACCCCGCGTTCCTCTCGCATAATATTTAACCACCCTCTCAGAGGGTTAACACTGTCCACTGTATTATCCAGCCATAGATCAAATGTGGACAGAGCTGAGAATTTGACAATTCTCCCCGCTTGTAAATCTGCATTACAAAGCACCCAAATACCTAATCTAGACGCTGTTTGAGCGCTCCGATTGTGGAGCTGGAGGAAGGTGAGGGTCCAGCAGGGGGGCTAGCTTGCCTGGGCATTGTGCGGGGCGAATGATCGCTTAATTACCATTGTTCTCTCTCAGCACTGTGGTTTGAATTATTCAGGGGACAAGTTGGGACAAACGGAGGGCCGAGGTGCCTTCTTGGGCACAAGACGCGTGTCCCTTCAGAACTAGGGAATCGTAATCTCACCCGAATAATAGCCGTGTTAGAGACCTTTTGTTCTCCGTTATTGGGTTCAAGGTTTGAGGGGCGCAGGGTTGATTCTAGAACGGATGAAGGCATTGTATGAGGGAGGTGGCTTGGGACCAACGCTTCGCTAATTAGTAATTACGTAATTAACTTATTACACGATCAAGCTGTTTGCCAAGCAGTGCGGTAGTTGCAACGCGATTGTGATTGTCGACCTTCACAGACTTGGGTAATCCAATTAATCTATCAGAATCACAAATTATCGAGGGCTCTAAGTTCACGTATTTGATTATGTGGGTGTCCAGCTATGGTGCTGTACAGCGGAGGTCACTGAAGTTCATTGTAGATAAAATCAGATGCCAGTGCAGGCGAACAATTCAAAGCCAAACAAAAATTACTTAATACTAACCATGAAAACGGCTGATGATAAGAAATCTTGAAGATGTCTCAACTTTCAGGTAAAATGACAAAGATAAGGTGTATGGAGGGTGGTTGGAAGAGGTACCGTTTGATATTGAGTCAAAGTTGGTCTCAGTTAGCGCTACAAGCATATTAGATAGCAAGTTGATTCATGGTAACCTGAACAAAAAGCCTCATAGCCTGGCCTAGCTGGACATCTATCCTTTTACGATTATTGAGAAAACCTGTGTAGTTTGGAATGTTCTCGACTAAGCCAGAAAGTTTTGTAGCGAACTTAAACTTGACCGAATTTGTAATAGGAAGCCACTAAATTGTTTGCGTGACCAAGTCATTGCAAATTTAAAAGTAAGAGCCCTGATTTTCCACGTACGACATATTGGTCGGTATGTTAAATTATTGACTATAGCCATAGGGATAGGGGATAAATCTATCTGACTGTGAAACTGTAGCAATCAGCAATTAGTGATTATGATTCATACTGTTTTAGCCGGTAAAGCAAACTTGTAGCAGAAAAATTGACTCCCAGAAAAGGGAAATTATGACGGCAGTTTAACAATTTCATCTGAATACGATTTTAACACAGATCGGAAGATCAAGAAACAACCGCACGGACCTGTCCGTGATTTCCCAATACAAGTATTGAGTATAACACCGTTATACTGTTATAATATAATAGAAACCTGAACACGAACTTCATGCTTCTATACGTATTTCCACACAAAATTGGAAGCTATTCAAAAAAATATTGTGACGGGATGAAATATCGCAAAAAAATTTGAGATTGCGATATTTCATCTCGTCTCAATATTTTTTTCGGATCGCGTCATTTTACCACTTAACTACGATTCGAAATCAAAATCTGCAGAAATGTGCACTATAATACAGGCAACCTTCCACTACCTTCAATCCATCAAACAATTGAAGCAGCATCCAAAATTATGGCCCCTAATCCTTGTCAAAATCCACCCTAATTCCATCAACACGATACAAATAAATTAAACCAATAAACTAGATCTCACAACTAAAAATAGGGAGGAGAGCCCCACGTTCTGAGGGCAGCTCCGAGACTGAGGCAGAAACCGCCGACTCAATGCAAATATAGTCTAGCACTGAATATTCAACAGATTCAAAAACCGTTCACCAGGCCCCGCAATACACTTTAATGATATGTTTAAATTCAAATAATTCCAGACTATGTCTTGAGATTTGTATATTCATACCCCGGCCCCTGATTGTAAGTGCGATAACACCACCACTGTTCAATAAACATAGGGGGAAGCGTGACGTGGGGATCATATTCAACTTAAGCGCAAACACACTCCCATCCAATCAACATATCCAATCAGAAAGTGTGAACTTAACCAGGGGGTAGTGGTTAATGCACCGACTAATCCTTATCCATATGTAGTCTTGATGCTAATGAAGTCGAGGGGTGGCCATTGAAGGTGGTACAGGGCCCTTTGTTGCAGTTTTGCATAGTGAACACCCTGTACAGCTACTAGGTGCCGATATGAAAGCCTAAAGGTTGGGATCTGCCCGGCTTAATGGTTTAAGATGTGCATCTCATAAAAGTAAGTCTCATGTCATGGTCCTAAGATATTCTCTTTTAGCGACAAAGATGTAAGGGTAGGCACTTGTGGAATGTGGGGTCGTGAGTTTATGCATAAAAACATTAAGGGGGAAACGTTAAAATAGGTATGTTGCTGTTTGCCGACTACTCTTTGTCTGAGATATACCAGACGTTGAGTCTTTGTAAAATTTGTTGAGATCACTGTATAATTGTAGGGGAGTAAGAATTAAGAAACAAAATGTAAACCACAATTTGTTGGCCACGGTCAAATCGTACAATGGGCCATAATCTTGCGTAAATTTAGAATTTAGATTGGTTGTAGCGTTCGGTGCACATCACATTTTAGTAGGTAAGGGGCCATCTACTTAGGACGTCTGGCAAATAGGGAGGGGGTGGTTTTCGAATTTCGGACAAATCCGGACAGGGCCAGGGGGAGCGGGGATGGTTTCTGAAAATCCGGACGTCAGGGGGAGGGGGGGGGGGGGGGGTGGGGGTGGTTTTGAAAATTCGGACACACCCGGACAGGGGGAGGGGGATGGTCTGAAAATCTGCGATTTTTGGCGGAGGTCCTAAGTAGATGGCCCCTAAGACTAATAATGATGGAGTCATTCTTAGTTGGATAGCATATAAAATTAAATCATTCATCTTATTTCTTGAAACAGAAATTATAATGAATGCATAATATATAGTCTGACGCTCTCCAGCTGCTTTGAACCAACGTAGTATCATCGTATAAATATCAGTTTTAAAATTTGATCCGAAATTGACTCATAAATAGGTAATATATGCGAAGAATTGGAGCTGAAATCGTTAAAGGAAATTACGACTGGCAATTTACCCAGGAGTGGCAGTTAGAAAATGAAAGTCTTTGATTTTATTTTGACTCATATTAAGTAGAAAACTCACCAACCATTGAATATGCGGGAGTTTTATCAAAATTTGCTGCTTCATAATTATGTTAATCATTTAAAAAAATCCTGCCATTCTTTTTGGCTCACCCTGTAAATATTAATTATGGCGTGCCCTAATTCAGCAAATTAGATTAATGGCAAACAAACAAGTCCAAATCTCCCGCCCAAATTTTGGTACTCAAATTTATTAAGCCCAAAGTTTTTTTACACAAATATTTGGGAACTAAGGTATGTACTGAATAGACTCGATCAATACACGATCAAAAAGGACTAAATAAAAAAATGGCACATGAAGTACAGTGGAACTAAGAAAATCCCTGGCACTAGCAGAACTTTGAATAAAAAACGGATAAAATCCTTATGGACACTGTACGTTTTATAAACACCTCAAAATCATTCAAAGCTTTTTAATTTACCCACTGATATATTTCCGAGTGTGGATAAGAGAAGAAACCCATCAGCAAATACGTTCACGAATATAAACCCGGAATCTCCCGCACCAACCATTTGTTTCAAACCATTTCATTGAACTCCAGAGCTTCAGGCAAAGTGCAACGTGCCCAACCTATAGGGGCAGGCAAAGTGCAAGAACTAAACGTGTTATTTTCATGTGTGCCCACGAGATCCTCACAAAAAAAAATGATAAACTGTATTGTTCATAGCTCTAATTACTTCTTATTTAACAAAAAAGAGGGTAAAATTTCTTAACCAGCCAATGCACATATTATGAGTCTCATGTCTCTGATTGAGAAGCTTGAACAGATATGAGAAATTATCCGATCAGTAAGATCATATCCCAATATTTTGAATGCAAAATGTTGATCAAAGCCTCTTTCCACAGAAACCTGACTTGGTATTAGATGTTTCCCGCTTGATTCAGAAATTATCTTAAATAGCTCTGTAACTTTTACGTGACTGAAACGCTTAAAGGAGCTCTCCCCTGAATGCACGAGTTGGGGCTCCCTAATGCATGGCCTAAGAAGTTAAAGTAGGCATGGTAACTTTACAGAAGACAAACCGTTCTAGAGGAATTTCATTAACATAAAACAACCTTCGGCAAAGTCTTAGATAGATGGGCAGTTGATTAAAGTTCAGGTAAAAGCATTTAAAATGTTTTGTAATATTCATGTGGGTAGCACGGTCCAATCAAGAAAAGTAGCCTCTGAGGTCCCAGACTACATTAAGACGTGCCAGCTGCTCAAGTCTGCTGCTCAAATATTCATGACTCAGACGTGATGAGGGCGAGGAACGGAGCCGGCACGGTTCGTGCCATGGAAACACGGTGAAGGTCGGCGAATCGGTCATTACCGTGTACCTACTCAAGAAGTGAAGTTAGGAATATTCAGCCCCTTGACCATCGGTGGGGTACAAACAAACTGGGGAACATGGCCATAACTCCTAAATTGTGCTCATTGTTGTTGATGTAGACGACAGTGACTCCTTCAACTCCGTATGAGGCCTACCCTGTTCATATTAGCATGATAGAGTTATGAAACAATGACGAATCGGTCATAAGTGTTTTAAAACTTTAGAAGGAACCCCGAACTTATCACAAACAAGGTACCAGCTGTTCTGTGTTCGCACATCATCAGACTGAGTCAATATTTATCGGTCATACCCAATTACCCAATTACCTGACAATTACCTGACAATTACCTGACAATTAAATACTCCAGTAAATGGGATAACATGTCTTTGTACGCGGTATAATAATACGTGTGTTAAACTGATTACATAAACGGGTAATTTCTCACTTGACTAGACTCACAATTGCAAACTTTAACTTAATTACATTTAACGACAGTTTATGATAATAATATGACATCATGATGACAAACTCGTGACAGCGTTGTAAATGGATAAGGTTACCTAATCAGACGACCTCGTCCCGACTGGTTGCTTCTTTAATACACTGCCCGGATATTTTAGGGTACGTACAATCTTAAATCTAATCTGAAATTAAGTTAGTTGTACAAGTTCCTATCAAACGACTGGCTGGTGTGTATGATTATGTAACCTGAACCACGTGGTACCACCTAATGTTGTTTTACACGGTCATTTTCCGGCGTTAAATCACGTCGTAAACAAGCCACGTGGTGGGTCACGTGCTCAGGAAAGGGTCACGTGACGGGCCCGTAGCAACTATCTAACAACTGTACGTCACCACATCCTGTCACGGGATGGGTTTCCTAGGGAACGCCTGGTGACGTGCAATGGTTCACGTGGTGAGGTGACGTTTACGGAGAGTCACGTGATAAGGTCACCTGTTTTTCCAGGGAACATGGCTAAGTCATATTGTGCTTCCTATACAGAATTATTTTGTTTGTGTAGACTTGAATACCGAGGGATTCGATAATAATGAAACGCTTAACTTTGTAAGTTTTTACGTTTATTTTGGAAATTTTTATACGGATTTCCTAATCGTAAACCCCCGGACTTAGACGTTGATTAATGACATAATTCTCCTAATAGAACGTACATTCAACAAGCAAGCATGCTTGTTGCGTCACCGTTTGTGTATTATCGTACATTTCTTTCAGCCGCTCAACACTACAGCATAAACCGTTTTGCAGCATTAGTTTTGTTTGAGTTTTTATACAATGTCTTCTTTCAGAGTTGTTCTTCTCGTAGTCTTACTCTTATCAGATGTCAGCTGTAAGAAAAGTAAGTTATTATATATCTTACTTCCTATCGATTCAACAACGCATGATTATTGATTATACGGCGATCAACGGGCAAGGCCGTCCGATTTGTACAATTTGAACAATCTCACGTATATTTAAAATGTCACCCTCTGGAATCCTATAGTGGCATCTTGATCTTGGTATTATTCTGGTGGTATACCACTATCTCTAGGGATGTGTTATGAACACACCCTGGTATGCAATGTACATGATGGGGAAGGGGTGGGGTTTAAGTAAGATACCCTCTGCCAGTTATTAACACCCACAATCACCAGAAAAGAAGAAGAAGCAGACAGAGCCACCCACAACATATATGACGCAAGTAGTTTAAGATTTTGCCGCTTTATAATACCCTTAAAAACACATGACCCCACCTTGCCAAGACCCTCAGGAACCAAACATACCAAGACCCTATCTTATCGCAACCCTATCTTTTCTATCACCATACCAACTATTACCAAGGCCCCATCTTATTCTAAGCCCATCTTATCAGAGCCCAGTGTTACACAGTAGCAAGGATCAGTGTAACACCGTGTTACACAGTGTTACACAGTGTTACACAGTGTTACACAGTGTTACACAGTGTTACACAGTGTTACACAGTGTTACACAGTGTTACACAGTGTTACACAGTGTTACACAGTGTTACACAGTGTTACACAGTGTTACACAGTGTTACACAGTGTTACACAGTGTTACACAGTGTTACACAGTGTTACACAGTGTTACACAGTGTTACACAGTGTTACACAGTGTTACACAGTAACAAGGATCAGTGTTACACAGTAACAAGGATCAGTGTTACACAGTAACAAGGATCAGTGTTACACAGTAACAAGGATCAGTGTTACACCGTGTTACACAGTGTTACACAGTGTTACACAGTGTTACACAGTGTTACACAGTAACAAGGATCAGTGTTACACAGTGTTACACAGTGTTACACAGTGTTACACAGTGTTACACAGTGTTACACAGTGTTACACTGTGTTACACTGTGTTACACAGTGTTACACAGTGTTACAGGGATCCCTTTACCCATACACTATCTTGCTCAGATTCCATCTTAGTCTTACCAAGATCCCACCTTCCATTTTACACTGAACTAGAGTTTGTTTCGCACTTCTCTTAATTGATGATTCATATTTTATTGGATGTACTGGGAAACGAAAGTGAAAGAATAAATGTTTGATCTGATGCCAAATTGCTAGCTTCAACCCCCCCTCCCCCAGATAACCATGAGAATTGTGACATTTATTTGGTAAATGTTTAACACAGGCTAATGGCTGGTAGGAACCGTGTAGCTGGCGACTTTCAAATTGTGCTTATCTCAAACGTGAAATTAGATCTCCTCAATCGACAGAGCTAGCAGACATAAAACCTTCCGTCCATGAGATAAAATCACGCGAAAATTTTAAAATGTTATTAGATAAAATTATAGAGCAAGCATATTTCATAATTATTGATATGCCTTTTTGGTCTCCAGACTAAGGAAGTATTCCAAAAAGGTCCATGCCTCGCTACACGTTGTAGGCCGCGGAAAAGAGTTATACAACGTGTGTCAATCCATGTCCTAAGGGAACAACCCTGTCTACGGATGCAGCGGTCCAGGATTTACTTTGAACCTTGAACCGTGATGCCTTTTTGACTACGGAGTTTTACCGGCGTGGCAATGAAATCAACAAAATGTATTGTTTATCTTTCGAAGTGCTGACAAATCGCCAGCGATTTTTTCATAATGATATGATAGATTATACACTAAAATGTAAGCTTCAATTTGAGTGTACCAATTTAGGTAAACGTTAATTTCAGCTAATCTTAAGAGGAAGTACGCTGCAATAGGTAGACAATTAATAAATTTATCGAAAATGCAAATTAAATACTTACAAAAAGCGGCCGATTTTTTCCTCCTGTCTGAAAGATCACTCCGCATATATATCTCATAGTCATATGCATATGCAGCATGCACATAAATTATTTCTACATAATGTACTGAACCTTGATTACCTTTACTTCTTTAATTACGTCTCAATTACATTAATTACCTTGATTTCAGGACGTCGTACGTGACCACATCCGTGATGACAACAACACCTCAGGAAGATGAAATCAAACCACTCACCACTGAGGACAGTAAAGTCGGTAAGTTCTGACGAAACCTACTCTTTAAGCACAGGAATAATTAAAGCCCACTTATTATCATCTCCAGTCTCTTATCATTTCAAAAGTACATACTTATCTCTTAAACTTAAAGTGAGGGAGCGAATAGATAAATCGGACTTTATGAAATGATAACTTCACCAACTGCTAAACAAATTCTGACATAGTCGGTGGTAATAATAATATGTAACATATTCAGCATACAATGCCACAAATAATTGTTTTTACACTGTTTTAAACAATTATTATAACAGTAACAGACAGGATAGAAACCTCAACGACGGAGGCACCGGAACTAGCTGTTATTACCTCAGACTGGTCTCAAGTTAACGGCACCACACAACCGGTGGTTTCAACAGGTTTCCACGTTATCAATCATTATTCTTTATTTCTGTTTTATTTACATCCTTTATTAGTTCAAACTCTCTAGGGGGCGGGGGGATCATGAGTATTTTTTGAGAATTTTTATTTTTGAATCTGAGAATTTGACCATTTTCGCCGGGAATACTCAAAAATGTCTCAAATATTATTTTTGAATCTGAGAAATTCATCATGGATTTCCCATTTTCTCAAAAATGTCTCAAATATTATTTTTGAATCTGAGAAATTCATCATGGATTTCCCATTTTCTCAAAAATTGTCCACCCAAAAATTATTTTTGAATCTGAGAAATTTAGCATGGATTTCTCATTTTCTCAAAAATTGTCCACTCAAAAATAGTGATATACCAAATCATTCTTCATATCAGTGCAATGTGGTCCAAAAATACTCAAAATAAATTTTTGAGAATGAGTTTTTCGCCTCTCCTTGACACATTTCTCAAAAATACTCAAAAATAGTTTTTGAGAATGAGAATTTGGCCATTTTCGTCGGGACTCTCAAAAATGCTCATGAACCCCCCCCCCCCCCCCCCTATCTATCATGATACATGGGTTCTACTGACATGGGTTTGAAAGTAACTGCACATATGCTAACAATTGTGTGAATCATGGACTACCTAACCAAAAAAAGGCGACCAAAGTTTTCGCGTTATACAGCAGGAATCACTTTGTCACATAACTAGAGTACTAGTATTACAGTTATACAGCAGGAATCACTTTGTCACATAACTAGAGTACTAGTATTGATAAAGAGATTAATTTTATTCTCTGTTGAGTATCGAGTAATGCTTAAAAGGTTATTTACAATACCCGTCCTACAGCAACACCTAGCATCGACAGTGTAACCACCGAATCAGGATCGGCAACTGGAACCACCGAATCAGGATCGACAAGTGGAACATCAACAGGATCGGGTGCAGTAACAGGATCTTACGACGAACCAGAAGAAGAAACAGAAGAAGCAGAAGAAGACGAAGGAACCACCTTCTTCACCACAGGAACAGGAACCACTGCTCCCAACACGGGAACCACAGCTCCCAACACGGGAACAACTGCTCCCAACACGGGAACCACAGCTCCCAACACGGGAACAACAGCTCCCAACACGGGAACCACCTTCTTCACCACAGGAACAGGAACAACAGCTCCCCACACCGGTACCACTAACACTGGGGAGACTACATCCTGGCTGACCACTACTGAGTTTATTCCCACTCAGCCTAAGACAGGTAAGTTTAATTCGACATTTTCTAGATTAATAATAAGTTATCTGTACTTCATATTATGATTTTCGCTCCCTTTTTGCTTGGCGGTACAGTGGAAATCCAGATATGTTCCTATGTATATCCTCCACTGGTTTATACTTTACATATTATTGATACTTGATATTGTTTGATTGTGCCGAAAAAATAAATAAATGTTTTATTATGTAGTTGCATTCGATAAATAAGATGCGAAATGTTATTTTTCATTAATAAGTCACGCTCGAATGGCTCCGATATGTAATATATCTATGTGATATATATTTTTTGTTGAAGTATTTTTTACCGTCGAAGCGTATAATACTAAAATTTATTTATTTATTTACTGGACCCCTGAAATAATACCCCCAACTAATACCCCCGTCCGTCCGCTTAGAACCCTACACGACAGAAACTGAAGTATACGGTTCAACCGCACAACCCACCGAAGCTGACTTCAACTTTTGTCCCAAACACACTTACGCTTGTCAGAATAGGTGGGTTTATTGTTCAACTTGAGGTTTATTGTTCAACTTGAGGTTCAACTTGGGGTTTGCTTAACATTTCAATCGTTGCTTCTCTGTGATTACTTTGTTGCTATTACATATTATCATAATTTGTGTGACCGTTAAGATTTATAAGAATTCTAATCCCGCTGTTTCTCAGACAGAAGTGTATTGGAAGAGGGCAGGTGTGTAACGGAAAGAAGGATTGTCCTGGTGGAGATGATGAAGAAAGCTGCCCTATCTTCACTGTTAATAAAACACCAGCCCCACGTCAGTTATATCCATAATTAATTACTTTCTTATTAGTTAACGTGAACAATTGACTATATGTGAACAATTCGTAAGCTTCTGAAAGTAAGAATATGTTTTGGAGTACATTAAACTTTCTCTCTTATGAAAGTAAAGGCTTAAATAGACTACATCAAACTTTCTATTTTCTGAAAAAAGCATTGTATTCTTATTAATATTAAATATAATCAACAGTTAGCTGCAAAAGTGAAGAGTTCAGTTGCAAGGTCAGAGGAGTTGGCAAGTGCCTGAAAGTAACAGCAAAGTGTGATGGTCTTCACGACTGTGACGGGGGACTAGACGAGGAGGACTGTGCAGGAAGTAAGTTGTTAAAACTTAAATGAGCTAATTATTAATTAAATAACTTTAACTAACTTAGTTAATAATTACAAATATACAGGAGTAGGTGAGAAAATCAGCAGATCAATTGAAAAATGTCAAAGATCATTTTGCTAATCACACAATGTCCATTCAGAACTGAAGTGTGTGTTTGACCATTGGCCTTGCGACGATGGATTACGTTGCTATGCTAAAACAGAATGGTGTAACGGTGTCAGGGATTGCAAGGATGATTCAGACGAGAGAGATTGTAAAAAAGGTAACTTCCACAAACCGTATACCTTTATTTATTATTATTTTTATTATTAACTTTGGTACACTTTTATCTCACAAAATTAAGTAATATTACAACTCGCGTGCTAAACGCTACCGCTGTTTCATTGATAGATTGATGATTATTGCTCGCACACTGCATAAATAGGTTCTACTACTTATAATTGTAAAATGTTAACAATTACATAACCACTCAAAACACAAGTCTAACCTAATATTCCACCCTCAGAAGAGTGCCCGATAGGTGACTGGCAGTGCACTAACGGTGACTGCATTCCTGACATTTTCCTCTGCGACGGATTCAATGATTGTGACGATCACAGCGACGAAAAAGAAAAAGTTTGCCAGTATTACTAAATATACTCATGTTCACACACTAAAACCAACTCGGTGAAGTGGAGAGCAAGTATAGTGGAAGTTCCCTGATCAAACTTTGTATTTGTACTGAACACTATGCGGTTGTTTAACAAGAAAACTAAAAGTTATCGAATCTTAAACATTGACTTAAACAACAAACAATGACATTTTTCATATGATAGTCAGAAAGGCAATTAAATTGCACTAAATTAAAATGCTTTTGTAGGGAATGATTTTCATAATGAAATTTATAATTTTATAATTTTATTCAAATCTAGGTGTTTTCTGACATTCTACAATAAAAAAGTGTAACCTCAACATCTTAAAGTTAATGCGAAAAGAGTTATAATTCTATTTAATAATAGACCTAAAAATGAAAGACAATGGAACCTTTTCTTGGATAATGATCAATAACTCTGGAGTCTCGAGTTGCTGTCACATGACTACTCATTCAGGTGAGACAAAAATGCACAAAATAGAAATGCAAAGAGCAAAGACACCTCATTTAGTACAATTCACTACTACACCATGCCACTTTTGTTGAACTGAATACTACAACAGAAAGTTGTGCATTTTATTTGCGTTCTTGAAATTAGAAAAGTTTAAATATTCGGATGCAAGACAAGCATTATTGGTTTCAACAAGGCATACCAAGCTAAATTACTCGGTTTAAGTTTTAAATTTTAAAAATAAACAGTTTATTGAGTAATTACAATATAGTAAGCAGCATCTTATCAGGAGACTCAATTACCAAATTCAAAAAAGTTAATTGTGCACAAAAATCACATTTTATCAGCAATCAAAATACGTAACTAAAAATTTAGGATGTAATTCATGCGCACAAAGGCATGCTTTTGACCTCAAAGAAATGACCACTACATCTTATAACGCTTTTATTCATCATGAGTGTTCACCATTTTAATTAAGTAACTGCAAAAATTAAGTCCAATCAGTCAGTGATTTCCATCGAGTGAGAGGAGGTGTCTCTCCGATATCAAGCATGGTATAATCTTCTCCCGGATAGGTATCAAGAAAGTGATGAAGACCGGGAATAGCATCTTAAGATAAACAGACTTCCCAAAAGTAATGATACAAAGTCCGATCAACTGTAATATCTGCAGGAAGGTAAAGAAGTGAATTATTTTCTGTGGTACTTTCCTGACATAATGGATGGGAGGATACAAACTCTGCTCGGTAAAGATCAGTACAAGTCTCTCCCAAAGTTGGAGATCTCCTAGAGATGTGAGAGCCAGGAACACGAATAGTCCGTAGAGCACTGGTATGGGGATCAGATTCAACGGGTAGGGAATCATCAGGAGAGACGCTCCGATCATTACGTGGGAGATAAGTGTGGTTAGTCTAGTTTCTCTCACGTAGACTATCTTCTCTGAGAGGTTACCGTTCTCAATGTGCTCCTCGATGTCAGCTAGAGCTCTGACGTGAAGAGGAGAGTGGGGTAGAGAGCCGTGAACGAAGGGGAGACCAAACACGCTCATGATAGCATTTATAACTCCTGTTACCATCATGTCATGATGGTAAGCAGTACCCTTCTTCAACTTGTTGGAGGGGTTGTTAACGATACTGGCTGATATGTTACCCTCCATGAAAAACAGTAATGACATGATGAAACCAAGGGTGATTGCAGAGAACAAAGCGCCCACCGTGGGGACTATAAATGTGATCAGCTGAAACAGCGGCCTTTCTTCATTCACGTAGAACTTTCCCAGGTTGATTTCTCTGAAAAAGTAGCTTCCCAACACCGTGCCAACAGCAGCAGCTACAACCAAAGCATAATCAGCAACCAAGACTCTCTTAACTGCATTCAAGTACGGACTGTACTTGAAGTTGAATATAACGACACCTACATAAACAGTGATGAGGACAAGAAGAAGTGCTAGCAGGGGTTTTGTCGGATTACAGCCAGGCACCAAAACCACACCAGCTAATGTTTCCGCTGCAGCATCCATCGTATCATTCGTCCAATTAGGACCTCCAAAACAATAATAGAGGTCGAACTCGTTTGAGATATATCCCACTGAGTCAACGATAAAAGCGATAGAGATAAATAGACCGACTATTTCCTCGGTAGATCTGGAACAGTAGACCATGATCTTGCTGACACCAGCAATCCCGTACATGACAAGGAAGAACGCGTTACTCAGACCAGTCATAGCATAGAAAGTATAGAAGAAGCTGCCGTCTTCCGCCCAGTTCTTACTGATGATAAAGAGGATCTTAGTGTAGATGACCACGGGGATGGTCGTTCTGATCACCACCAAGTGCTGACCACTGAAGAGTCCCCACAGCAGGCCAGCTAAAGCTTGAGATACTATCGCGCTCTTAGCGTCTATCTTGCCGTCCGTGTAGTTAGCATCAAGCACTCCGAAAGCGATCGCTGGGAGTAGTAAAGAGAAGAAGAGGAAAAGAGTGGTGGAAATTATCTTCCGGATGCTGGTAAAGTCCTTGGCATCAGTAGAATAGTCTGAGAGATAGTGCTTGGCTCGCCGCCTGATATCATTGACCAGCTCCATCCCCGGTACCCAACGCCTCCTCCTCAGTGTCTCTATTGGACGGCTCCTCATGCTCGTATTCGCTTCCCTCTCTCGTTTCTCGTGCTCCTTGTGAATCCTGGTGCATTCCAGCTCAAACTCATGAGCAAACTCGTCAGGACACCTAGTGTTCAGTAAGTTGTGTCTGAGTCTGTCGTCTGAGAGGAGAGTGGCGTAGGTCCTCGCTACTTGAATAGCTGACTTGGTGTGTTTGCTCTTGGTCGGGCTCAGAACCACACATATGAACCTGATCTCTTCAGCCCCGATCCCAAAGTTGAAAGGGTGCTCCAGAAGACACATTATAACCTGGTTTTCTGTCACTGTGTTTGTGTTCCCGATAACCACAATAAAACTTTGTTCTGTGATAGGTCCGTGCGCAGTTTTTGTTATTCCTTGAATACACTCCGGGATCACAAAGTCCGCGTCATTACTTATTACTGATTTCATCGCCTCCTCAACTCCCAGATTCAACTCTGGCTTTTCTTTGCTTAACCTAACTATCATTTCCGCCACAATGTCTTCCCACAACGTGTGATGAACTTTGAACAGTACTATGGGTTGTGCCAAGAACTTCCCAATATCCCTCATGGCTCTAGCTTCGTCGTGATAGTCCTTTAGATTGAGAACCCGCCTCTTTGTATGATATAACTTGCTGCAAATATGGTTTTCTGTGTCGGCGACACTCAAACTGGGAAAACTCTTGTTCCGCTTCACTACTTTCTTCTCAAACGCATTTGAAATCCTCCTCCGGAAAGCTCGATCAGTGTACTGACTGGATATGGCGGTGGGTTTAAGTTGCTGTGCAGCAGAAGTAAAATTGGAAAATGGCAACTCCGTTTCAGTTAGATCCTCCATGTCAAACTCATCACTGTCTCCCAGATCAGTACCACCAGAGAAGTTTAAACGTCTGGACGACTTTATTGGAGTGCTTGTGGCTGATCGTATCCTGTTTAGATCTTCCAAAGGATCGAGTCCAGCTTCCTTGTTTGGTTCTGAATCTGAAACGAGGACCTTAAAAATCGTGGTAAAAGTGGAAAATAGTTTAGAACAAAATTCTTTCAATTTTAGAATCGAAGTCAAGAGTATGGCAACTGGTTGCAGTACTGTGTCAAGAGTATGGCAGCTGGTTGCAGTACAGTGTGATGATCCACTTCAAATGCGCAAAATCATAACGTTTCTGGTTATAGAACTGGTAGACTGACCTGATACTGGGATGATCTTGATCTCAATACTGACATTTTCAATATCCCCCTCACCCTCTCCCACAGGATTGTACTCGTTAAGCGACCGAGTCATAACTGTGGAGATCAAGGAATAATCTCACAGTCAACTCATAGTATCTGATACTCGATTTTAAGAAGTAAAAAAAAAGAAATTACACCAACCGACAGAAAGAGTGAAAACTAAAAAATGTCTCTTCTATTTCAAACTTTAACTAACTTAGCAAAAAAATCTAAGGTCATTAAAAACAAATCAAATGATCTTCGATCTGACCAAATAAACATAATAATGTTATAAATAAACATAATAATACCATTACATAGCAATATGTTACGGAACACCCTGGCAATTCTGGTTAGACATGGAACAAGGGGAGTATGAATATGATAGAATCTAGCATATTAAAAGAGAAATTAAAGACCATGGCTGAGGAGTGAGGAGATTGACAGTAACTGTACCACAAGTCACCTACTTCGGAAAAATATTGTCTGGATGAATAAATAAGTGTTATATTATTAATAACGCTGGGGGGGGGGGGGGGGGTGGAGGAATAGAGCGGGGGGAATAGAGCTGGGAGGGGGGAGGAATAGAGCTGGGGGGGGGGGGGGGGGGATAGAGCTGGGGGGAGGAATAGAGCGGGGGGGGGGGGGATAGAGCTGCCCAAAGAGAGGACTGATTCTTAAAAGTCTTTGATTTCAACGAACTTTTAAGCTACGCGAGAGTACATTTACAACTACAAGACGACCACAGCGTTCATACCGACGCAATATTTTAATCCGATCATTACAATTTTAAAATGTAAAATGAGCAACAACATTTACCGAAATTAATACTTTAACAAGTCAACAAGTTGCAATATGTGTTTAAAAGGTGCACGGAGAGTGAGATAAGGCGCACTAACATTAAAGGGAATGATGAGTATACAGTAGAGGTTTGATGAGAATTATTAAGTTGAGGTACCAAACGTTAAACTCAAACCCGGGAGTTCCCAGAAAGATCGTGACAAGATTGGATTACCACAGCTAATTAGGTAATTAGGTAACATGGTAACTAGTGAGATAAACTGCGCCCCCTCACAGATTGTTTAGTACAAGTGATCATCGCACGACTAGTCATGAACTTTGTTTTACGATTTTTTGGCAAGAATCCATTGAGCGGTAATGATATTGGGTTCCTTGTAATTGCGGTGGGTACTCTAACAGGGCCTATCGGATAAAGAAACAGAAACTTTTAGACCGTGATTTCCAATCGAGGATAGATTTTGCAAACACATTCCTGTCCAAGCAGAAAGCAGATCCTTACTTTGAGGAAGAAATCTGGTACAGCGACAAGGCTCACTGCCATATCAACGGATACGTAAACTCGCAGAATGCAATTCACTGGGGCTCTACTAGACCGGATGAAGTGGTGCAGAGAAAAGCTTTTCCTGAAAAGGTCACAATCTGGTGCGCCATCATGGCATCGTAGGACCTTACTTTTTACGGAGTTCGCTATGTGGATCTTCTGGAGAACAAGTTCGATCCTGATATGTTGCAGTTCTCCTTCAACACCCCCCCACCTCACCACGGACTGGTGGTTCATGCAGGATGGAGCTAGACCTCACATCGTTCGACCAGCTCAGGATTTCCTCGTTAACAAGTTCGCCCACAGAACCATTGGACAACATCTTGGAACACACTGGCCGGCTTACCTGGGGACCCCAGGCTATAATGTTCATAAACATAGAATAGACTAATAGAGATTCGGCGGAATGACAGGCTGAGTGCCGCCCAGTAATGGCCGGCTAGAAGTCCTGACCTTACACCGTGTGAGTTGTTCCTGTGGGGGTGGGTGAAGGACCAACTCTATAAGAGATATCCTATTGCAGACATCACGCAGCTAAAGCACCACCTGATCGACATCATCCATAATATGGAACCAGCGTTTGCTATGAACGCTTGTCGGAGTGTAAAGAAGAGGTGCCGCAAGGTGCTTGCAGCTGGGGGACGACAATTTTATCTTAATTGAAATTATTGAATTGTTTTTGTGGGAATTTTGATTAGTTGATTTCAATTATCCTGAAACTTGTTGTTTTCCTGTCTAGCAAAGTCATTATCGGTATCCAATCAATCATGATCAGGTCGTCATCTCCTCGATATGTTTGGTAACGCCTAATGAACCTCATTAATACACGCTAGCGCCTTACTCTTGATGAGATTGAGTGGCCGGATCAGTGACTGAGTCAGAGTGCAAAGATCACGTATCCGATGGATTTTGAAATGGTCATAACTCAGCCAAATTTGAACAATGAACTTGAAACTTTGGGAAAAGTTTTAAATCATCAAGCCAAATGTGTACAAACAATTTTGAATTCCTAGCTAGTATAGCTGAAAGGGTTCTCATTTTATGAAGACAATAGTGAAAAAGAGGGAGTGTCACGCCACGCCCACTGTAATTGGGCGTGGCTTACGAAACTTTCAGGGAATCTAAGTTTGACCCATATCTATAATCTCTAAAATTTTTGTGCAATTCTGAGACCAATTACGTGAGTTATTAAAGGGTTGCGTGTGGATAGTTACTTTTGGGCCACCCTGGCCCAAAAGTGGTAATATTATTAATAATAATACATTTTTTATGATAGTAATATTATTTACACAATGGCCAATGCTCCTAGTTCTTATCCTTGTTCTAGATCATCCGTACGTGTTAAATATTCAACAATTCCTGAGAAATAATTTGTGACTTCAGAATTCAGATCAGTGTAGTCTTAACACCTCCAGGTAACGTGTATTTGATTATCTCAACATCTCATTAACCCTTCCATACCACATTAATAATGATAAGATTCATCCCTTTATCTGATTAAAGGACCGCTGGTAACCCTTATCTGGTCACGAGGCTACCGCTTTAATTAGAACTAATGGCCCTAAAACAGGCCTTCCTTAATACTCGAATATCACACGAACATATTATTATCTCCAACATTCCTACAGACCAAGTTTGATCGTCATATATTTTCCAAAAATATTCGCGGCATTATACTTATATTATATTTGTTAGTTAATTTGATACGGATATCATCTTATTAATCATCCAAGATGACTAAAGATGATTAGTTTTGAAAAATAAAAACAGATGTGTACCGTTACAGGCTTACAGTTTACACCCAAAGCACGATTCCATGATGAGTCCCATAACAACACAGCAATAAAGTACATTAAACTGTTAAAGGCGATAAGGTTACTGCACAGTGCACCACAGTCCACAACAGAACTATGAATATGATGCTAAATTCAGCGTTCTAAAAGTAAATTTAACGTTGAGTAGAGAGATCAATAAATGTATGAACAATAAATGTATTTTATTAACGTTATCGTGATTTGCATCGTCATACAACGAGATTCTCAAATCATGAACAGATTGCTTTACATATCGCTTTACAATAAATCATGACAAGGAAAAAGTAGCGCTAGAGCGGATAAAAGTTTTTATCTTCGGTACACAGAAAACATATCAAACATACAACCAAAGGGCGAATACAAATTTATAGTTATACATTTGAACACGGCAGGTAGTATTGTAGGTTTATCAACATTGTACTGTTGACTAATATCTGAGTACCTGATAACGGGTAAGTACTAAGTATTTGCATATGTTAATAATTGTTTACTGGGCGGCGCTCAGTTTGTCATTCCGCCGAATCTCTATGTTTAATGTTTATGAAAATTATAGCCTGGGGTCCCCAGGTAAGTAATTGTAGTCGTTTGCCATGAGCTATAGCTAGTACCGGATCAGATAAAACTTAAAAAATATTTAGGATTCTTTACTGCGTGCAAAAGTTGAAAGTATAATATGATCTTAATCTGTAACTTGCAGTAAATTCTACAAGGTATCGTTAATTTATTACCTTATTACGTAAGCCAGACCTTGGCCATTTGTACCCCTTCGTAAGCCATGGTAAGCTTTGGGAAACCCCCACGTTTCACGGAAGCATATTCTGCAAGTATATAATTATACGTCAACGCCCCTCTCCCATTTTAAAACTTTATAACTTTGATATTCGAACTAAATTTCGAGTTCTATTACTGCTTATGCAGTGTAAATATGCAGTGTAAATATGCAGTGTAAATGGTAATTTTTGATGAGGAAAATGATTTAATCGTATAATTTTGCTTTCCTTTTATTTTCAAGTTTATTTTAATTACAAGTTTGAATTACTAAGAAATATAGCAAGACATCGTATTTCTTATGAAAATTATAATTTTTGCTTACGTACGTAATAGGGAATAGCAGGAATTTACAATTTTGCTTTCTTTTTTGCTTTCTAAGAGTAATTTAATTTGTTATTAATTCAAAAATATTCTTTATTCTTTTGTGTAACTTGTAAGGTGGTATATTGGTAAACAAATTACATAACTAGCCAGGGAGAAGAACAGTTATATTAAAACAATAGAAAATTCAATGAAATGTTGAAGAATTTGAATTAGTCGACATTAGGGTAAATACTTAACAAACTGAAAAATGTATAAAAAGGTAAAACAGCAATTTTTGAAAGAAGACATTGCACCAAAATTTTAGTTCAGGATAAAAATTACTGACTAATATAACCTATCTAACCAACACATAATAATTGGGTGAAATGTTGCCTTGGATATCAATGTGAATAAGATTTTAAGAGCATACACATATTCAATAACGATAAAGCTTACCTGTGGTCCTGTAAAGGGTCTCCTTCTCGCGATTCTATTCGTTCTCAAAGATTATCAAATTAAACAGTCATCGGAGTAGGACTTAAATTTGATCTAAAATGATCAAAATCACTAAAACTCTCAAGCACGACCGTTTTTTACTTTTTATCGAAATATAAAAAGAAAATGAGAAATTTCCATCAAATCGAGGCAGTCATCGCATCTGAAATTACTGTATTGCACAAGACTGAAGATCGATGATATAGATAAAGTGTAATGCACACACTCCAAGTATGGTTGATAAAACCGCCCACACGCATGATATGAATCGAGTGTAAAATGTAACGTAATAGAATGTAATTGAGCGGAGACGCTGATTGGTTCAGACGGTATGGCGCGCACCAATCTCACAGTCCCAGTCCATCAAGAAGGCGCGTGTAAAAGATAAGTTCTTGTTTCTAGTTTTGAGCGGTTTGTTTTGTAATACGAATGTAACATTGTCCCGATCGACTGTTTGTTAATGGTGTTTACTTCTGGACTCTGGTATTCCTCTTGAAATTTAGACAATAATTTTATAAGTTCACGCAGTGTTCATTATCAGTTTGTCAGGCGGCGCTGTTCATAGTTACCTCGAGACCTCATTTGTATTTGTTAGGGCGGAAAGAGAGAATGGCGCTTTTCATGGAAATTGACTTTTCTCTTATTCGATATCCCGTCTGCAGTGTTGGGTGTGGACATAGATCAATGTTTACTTCATATCAAGCGTTTATATCTAATTGAATCATATCTTATTCCAGGTGATAACCAACGTGTAATATCCGGATAGGACTGATTACCAACCTTACAATTATTTACATCCTATGTCATATGCTCTTTCAACCTGTTCCCGCCTTGTTGAAACCCGGTTTCAATTATCTCCCTCTCTTATACGTGCCCAGCTCAAAAATCGGGTGATTGTTTTAGGTAAGTTATCAAGCATAGTAAGTTATCAAGCTGGTAAGTTATCAAGCTGGAACGAATCTTGTACGTTTCAATTCATTTCGTCTATTGGCTTCCAATCCAATCCAAGATTGGGTGTCTTGTATCTTTATTGCATTAACCAGATACTGGTGCCGAAGTGATAAAACCTTATTCGGCTTTTGGAAAATGCAGCTTTAAAAACGTTTCATTTGAATATCATTATTCGATCGATCATGTAAAGCCATACTAAAGATCGCTTCTTATTGAAAACTGTAGTGAGTTTTTCTGTCCCACAAATCTTAATGAAAATCTTTAATAGTGGAAGGGTGGAGCGCTTTACCTTTTGCAGTATGATTGAAGATTCGAACTGTTGTGACTTAAAACACAAAGGTGGATCTCCACTCCATGTGTAAATTACTCTTGTTAGATGGTCCGTTGGCTCCTCTACTCTCCTTTTATAGTTATTCATGTTTGATGATTAGAGAGAAACTCGTCTAGTTAGCTGTGATGTTATCTTGAGTTTGTGGTTTTATCATATCTAGGGAGAGTAAGCTTTTATCAAGTTTAAGTGAGCCGACTTTTAATGCTCATGTTATGTTGATTAAAAGCCAACAAATGCAATCCAAAGTAATCATTAGTGAATATAGTGAGTTGATGTTATATCTCGTGTTCATATCAGGACAGCAGTTCTGAGTTCGAGTGAATTTGCAGTGCAGTATTTCAAGTCTAGATTAAAATGAGTGGTTTAATCGCTTGATGAACACAGAGGTCAGATCAAGTTACAATATACAAGGTTCATCTTCATGAGATGGTATCTACTTCTAGGCACTGCTTTCGTATTTTTAGCACTTGAGCCTGATCTCTTTGCCCTGATCATATCGAGGTTTACTTATCGCCTCGTTACATAGTTTAGATAATGAGGTTTCAATGAGTCTGTCAGTAGATGATTAAATTATTGATCGATCATCATCATCAAAGGTTGTTCGGAATCGGCCAATAATTCGATAATTTACAGAGCCTGGAACAAAGACACACCAGATTTTCTAGCATTGTTGAAGATTGCTATTTATCATTTATAAATTTGTAATATTATTTCTCGTTGTTAAGTTGGATATTATTATTCAATTTCAACGAATAATTACCTTTCCTGAGCTCGTTCTACCACAGGAAAATGATAACCGATGGTTACTTCCTAAAACCAGTTTCTTTCCAACCATACACCGACTTTGCTTCAGTTGTTTTACAGCCATTTTGCGACTTAACCTATTATAAGTAGAAAAGTCTCGAAAGAATTCTCGAAGGACAGCGAGGAAGCTTCATCTTCTCAAGCGAAACAATTTGACCCTCAATTAAGTCTTCTTAAACTAATTACAACGTTACAAATCTCTTTAATAAGGTGATACTCCTGTTGTTGGCCGTCAAAAGCGAGTTTTATAAGCGGATCTCCTTTAGCTGTTACATTATAACCAACTACAATTAGCCGCTCTATACTTACACAGTAATACTGTGTAAGTATAGAGCGGCTAATATACTGTGACAGTATACAGTGTACAACACTCGTAGGACTAAGATATTAGAGTTGAAGACTGTGTGATCTCTGGGAACAGACAAAAGGCTCCGCATAATTGTGAGATATGAGATAGAATTTCAGATAACTAGATGTTAAAACAAACATTTTGGGTAGTCCCACGTCGCCTCAAACGTGCAGTTTTACAGCTTCATTGATGTTTATTTTACAACTCTTAGAACAACACCTTCTAGGTCAATTAGCGTTTCCTTGTCCCTCTGTGATCCCTCTATTTCTTCTTTCATCCCATTGGTAGAATATTAGGTGTGTAATTGGACAATTTGTATCTTCTTAATTAAGTAATTATCGTAAAGTTTGAGATGTGATTGAACTGTCAACTTCAAATTGGGGGTTATTTATCCCGTTATTTTTATATCCTCCTATTTCAAGTCGGCCTTTTTCATCTGGATCCTTGAAAATACATATTACTTTTGGTCCCTCGGATTTTCTAATAATTTCATGCCATTGAACACCCGATAGTATATTAGAATTCTTGACACCACACTGGTTCCAGTAAAAACACCTAAGTTATCGCACATCACTCGCCAAAACAGCGTGATCACTGATCATGAAGCTCTATGAGAGCTTGATGATTTGATGTTTTAAACCTAATATTGGTTTATGAGCCTTGTGACTAGGTAAACGTACTGAAACCTGACCCGCCTACCCGCTAACTGAGTATTATCCTGTCATTTGTAAATCTTATCAATTAGTAATCAGTTACGAGCTGGTACCATGGTCTTGTAGTACAGTGCCATTTGGTTTGTATTCATCTCCCTTTTTTCTGTGGTTACCGGTACTGGTTACCGGTACCGGTACTGGTTACCGGTAGGTATCTGGTCTCCCTTTTAGCGGGCCTAGTCTGGAGTGAACCACCTGCTATCGGGTCAATTGTACATCGTTTATGTTTGACGTTATCGTAACAACTATAAAAAGTGTCTTGATATTTCGTATTTCGTGTGATTCAAGTTAGAAGCATCAAGTTAGTATACCATTAGTATGTAAATTTAATATATTATTTGAGTATATTTATTTAGTATATTAATTTAGTACATTACGTAAACATGGATTAATGGTGGTTTAGTTTCTTGAATGATGTGACGCAATATAATAAGGCATACAAGATTTGTATACATTAATATTTCATTAATTTCACCATGTCTTGTTATTGACTTATTATTTTATTTGAATTTTCCGTTTCTTTACGTAAATGTCAGGAGTGTTCCTTTTACCACACTCAAAGATTACCCCTTAAAATGTGGGACGTGGGCTTGTGTATAGTAAAGTCAAAATCAGTGTATTAATATTTAACCGACTTAACTTAACCTAACACTATACCTAACTTAACTTGCACAATATCTTTAATTTAACTCCCAAAACACGTACGCATAACGTGTCGCATCACTAAGTTATAAGTTCACAGCTATGTGATAAACACACCGTCAAACACATGGAGCTGTCTCAATGAACTGTTAATGTGTTTATATTAACCCACTAACGAGGGCCAAGCAAATAAACACAGTGCGGTAAGTACTTGTTGTACTGGATAATGCAACTAAACTAACGAGTACCGTAATTCTATAATTGTCTGGTCACGTGATGGGTTGCTACGTATAATTGCATAATATTCTGCTGCTCATAAACATGACGTGGTGTATCCGTCCTTCAGTATGTTATGTCAGAGATACAAAATGTTCTCAAATCATGGTGAAGACGATATATAATACACATGTATCGTGAAAGCTCCTGCTAATAAAAACATTTCTTATCATTTATATGGTGCCCGTAGGCGAGATTTGTAAAAGGGCAATCATTTCAAAATGTAAAAGTATGTTTAATTTTAAGGTGTCATGTGTTATGTGTACAATAATATAACTTACAGAATATAGTCTAATCGTTGGTAAACTACAGTTAACATGTGTAAAACTTTTAACTTGAAGTTTAACTAGTAGAATTAGTCATCATAAAACGCAGACTGTACAAACCCTTTCATTAAAAATAAACCCAAAGATTCAGAACAATATCTACCATCTAGCTTCTAACGCTCTCGTGATAAAACCAAACCAATCAAAAGGGAGAACATCTCAAGAGAACCAACCAGAAGAGAGAACCTATGATCAAGTGATGAGATCAAGCCAGTCGAGCTCTGCCGAGTACAGACATTTTGTTTACTCACGTCTTTTCTGTTTAAACCTTACCGTGCGAAGAAGGGGCATGTTCAACAGCACAATATGCATCATCACCTTTATCTATAACTATAGACGTACTCCTAGCCTCTAATACTAGCCACTAATACTTGACTTGGAACCGTTTCTTGTGACCTTATTGCGTCAAACCCTCATGGCCAGGATATCATCATTTCGTTTGGAGATTTGTCAATTTTTAGAGTTTGGAAGTATCCCTCATCACAGGATACGCTCCGGATTCCGGAATATCACCAGATAACGGCTCTACTCCCCTGCCCCGCATACCATAGATTCCACCACTATGTATAAATACATCTTTCTTTCGCTTTTGTTATATGGCATTGTTTGTTTACATCTTTTAAAGAACAAGTAACTGCAATGAGCGTTCTGTCGGGAAGGAGTCATCAGTTCAGACTCGGTAGAGTTTTAATAATCTCTTGATAAGTGTTAATTAAAGGCGTGAACAATGAATTAACTAACGTCCTATAAGATGAAGCATTGTGGAATGTTGATGTTTAAATACCAGTGAGTACACA